TTAGCCTTATTGCTGACACGTTAGACATTGGGACACAAACTGAGCTATTTCACATTTCATGTTTTTTCACAAAAAACTTTCTTTCAAATCTTTATACATCTTAGTGCCTCTAAGATGTATAGTGAATTGAAACCCATATGCTTCCTCCAAGATCTTTTGTTTTAACTCAAAATCATTTGGTTCACATAACCTATTCCCAAAGCTTAATGTGCCATTTTCGTGAAACTTAGACTCTAGCCACAAACCATTCCTTAATGAACTAAAATTTATCAGCCATTTAATCCATAAATTCAAGAAATAAAAGTTTTTTCTTACTTGTTTTTATCCCAATAAATTTAAGATTTAGATCTACTTCCATATAAAACCTCAAAATGAATAATTGAATGTTTATCTTATGACTATTGTTATAAAATATTTCTCTTCAAGTCATGATTTAAGCATTGCATAGAAGAATGTCTACCATCGATAAAACCTTCAAAACTAAAAGGACTGCAGAATATTTTTATCCAAAATATTGATACCCAAAATCCATAAATCTTTATTTATTAAAGATTCATCACTTTCTCGACTAATAATAACCTAAGAATTTATAACTTAAACCAAATCAAGCTTCTGCTGCATACTCTGATATTTCCTTATAGTAAAACTCTAAAATAATAAATTAACTTTCATAACATTGTTTCATGCCAAGAAAAATGTATGTCCATAAAATTTTATGTAATTCGCTTTAGGTTAGGTATTTATAACCATATACAACGTTAAAGTTGAATAATAATATCAATAAATCATTTAGTCACCAAAAAGATATCACATAGTACTTTAATTTTTTTTTCTTTTCTACCGACAATATGAAATTTTTTATCAATTAACTGTTATAAAACATATGATATCGATACAATAGATCATATCCATAAATTTATACTATGTAAATTCAAACATAAATATTTGGTTATCCAAGTTGTCTCCAATTTTGATTATTGTTCTTTCAATTTAATAGACCAATTATCATATAATAATTGATTTTCCATAATCTTCACCAATATCATAATTTTTTAATTTTTTTTATCAAATATATTGCTACAACTCTGAATCCAAGTTAAAGCCTATGTACCATAACTCATAAATAAAATTCTCTTATATAATTTAAACAATAAAAACTCCAAATACTTGAAATCATACCGAAAGTATAGTTATGAACAATAACTAAAGGCATCACATTATTTCAAAAATTTTGTCAAATTTTTCTAAAATCGAATACATGTTTAGCATCACCAAGTATATAAAATCATCACTAATTATTAAGACCTTATCATAAAGTGAACAATCTTTTACACTTGTAAGATTTCAAACAATTATTAACCAAAACATATATATTTTTCTGTAAATCGATTACTCTTTCAAAATCAACTTCCTTACTAAATCATCTAGATAACCACAACTTTAATTTTTATCCACAAATTTAATTCTTTGCTAAATACATAGCCTTATACCATAATAGGCAATATTTTCCATAAATAAACAATTCAAAAAATCCAATATTATACTTCAATTATAAAATATAATCACAAATAATTACTTTGACAATTGAGAAAATTCTTTACACTCCAAATAGAAACTTCAAATTAACTATATAAACGTCCAACTCATGTGATCAAATCTTAAATACTTTCTAAAAAAAAATGTAGAACCAAATCAAGTAAATATCCTTCTTTACGTATATAAACTATTTACTACAATTATAATATTCACAACTAAATCTATCAAGACATTCTCTAACATTATAACTGAGAATTAATTACTTCATAATTTCAAAACATCATTTTCTTTAAACTCTAATATTCTATACTTTTAATTCTAACAATGCATAGTTATATACCACTCTTAATCCATGATTAAGGATTCACTTTACACTTATCATATATTTTACAATCTCATTAAGTCGAAGGTCTTTTCTCAAACCTATAAGATCTTTAATAATCAAATCGTTCTTTTGAATAATCTTTCAACTCATAAAATATGTCTCATTATAAGTTGCATTGAAAATCTCTTCAACTTATAAAATCACATTATATTAAAGTAATTATATTTTCACTTAACTACAAGATCTAAAAGCAATATATAAATATCAACCAAAATAATTATATCAAGAATTCATTGAATCGTTAATTCTTCAAAATTTATTAAAACTTTAACTATTCCAAAATTTATTGAATCATTTACTTATACTCACCACTATAGTCTATGGATCAAAGTTATGTCCTTAAAAAATCATCACATTATCTAGAGGTCATCATTTAAATTTTTAAAAATCTCTACATTATTTATAGATCATAACTATGCACATAGAATATCTCTTTTAATCCAAGGATCATAAGCTACGTTCTTAAAAAATCATCGTTAATCTAATTATCATAATTTAACTTCTTAAAAAATCTCTAAAGATCATAACCTAAGTTCTTAAAAAATCTCCAAAATCATAATATAAGCTCTTAAACATCCCACATAGTTTAAAGATCATAACCTAAACTCTAAAAAAAAAAAAAATCCAAGAATCTTAATTTAAGCTTTTAAAGAAAATCTCATCATAATCTATCTCTTAAAAACTCTTCAAGAATCGTAACCTAGCTCTGATACCAATTTATGTCATGCCCTGAGACCGAAACATAACATGACCATATTATTTTGAAGTAAAATCTCAAATTAATATGAAGCTTTCTTTCTTAATCATTCTAAAATTATTAAATAAAATAATCTGTTCAAAAAATCCAAAACTTTAATTCAACTAAAAAAAAAATCCTCATATTCCTAAATGCAAACTAATAAAAACACTAAACCATTTCATAAGAGCTTACTAGCTAACAATGTCTTCAATGTCCAAATAATCTTTTTAATATGATCTTCTAGTTCACATAACTAATCAAACTTATTACTTACTCATCTATAAAGAAAAAGTAAAAGAGAATAAATAAATCATAGCTTAGTAAGTATAGGCTCATACACCTTATCAAATCAGGCAGCATTTTCATACATATCATATAGATTATTCAAAATATTTATCAAATCATAATATCAAAACATTTCAAAGATCATCGTTTTGTCAAATATTTTGTAAATTTATAAATCAATATCAAAACACGTTAATTCATAAATTATTACAAAATATGCTACCATTCAAATATTGTAATTAAACCCAATCATGGATTAATCATTAAAAAATATTGTAAATCATCTTCATATACAAATCATGGATCAATATTTAAATCATCACAATTCATCATAAACCAGTAGTTCATCATTAGCTATGGTCACTGCTACAACTTGTGACATTAAACATATCAACAAATTCATCCTCAAGATCATTACTAATTATTATAATCGGCTAACTAAGGCTTAATACTAACTACTATAATCCGTTAACTAGAGCCGTATAATCATATACATGCTAACTACTGTAACCCGTTAACTAGGATCATAGAGCTAGTTTTGGTATCGATTATCCTACTTCTCAGAGATGTAATCATAAAATCATTCTTTAAACAAAAATCATTTTTTCATTTAATTCATAAGCATGATCCATCATTTACATAGAAAAAATACAAAATAATCATATGCTCGATCCTATTTTCACATATTGAAAATTAAAAAAATAAAATCTTTACTCATTTAAAACCATACATATATACTTAAGTTCAAAAACAAGTAAAGTGTGTGAGAATTTACTTATCTTCTTTCGATTCTATCACTTAATTTTTTTTCTAAAATAATTAACAGCCTATTCAAGATAATTTCAACATAACATAAATTAATCAACCCATTTTTAAACTAATTATACCAAAATAATTAAGTTAAACAAGGGTTAACTCAACTAATTAATACTGATTGCTTGAACTCCTTTCATTAAAATAGTCATATCTCAAGATATCTAATTCAGAATTAAGATCTTTTTAACACATTAGAAATTAGATTCGATAAGCTTTCTAACCATATATGGTTCATCTTGTGATTCCTTGTAGATTAATTATAATAATTTTTGCAATTCACACCATATGTTACTATCAAATAGTATGTATACCTTCTAATAAAAATTTCATTTATTCATACGAAACTCCAAATTCAATTGTGCTTATTTTGTTGAAAAGTAGAGTTAATAAGCTTTCCAAACATATATGGCTTAATCTGTAATTCCTTGTATATAAATTAAGAGAAATTTTGTAATTCCTCCCTGTTGCTGTTACTAGGTAGCCTATATATCCTTAAATAAAAATTAAACTACTTTTCATAGAAAACTCAAAACTGACTTTCATTTATTTCATTGAAAAGTAAATTCAGCAAGCTTTCCAATAGTATATAATAATCATAGAAATATTTTATCCCTTAATACAGAATAGTATCTTAATTTACCACTGCAAACACCAGAGTTCATACAAGATAAAAATTTTCCTTTCTAACCCCGCCAAATTTCTATTTCCTATTTTTATAGCAATAAAATCATATTACTAAACCTTCTCAATATTTTATTAGACTTTGATTAAAGTCTAAATGATTTACCCAAACCAATCTTGAAGAGGGATAATGAATTTCTTAAAATTTTAAGATTTCTCAATTACAAGTTAAACTTTAAGACTTAACAATTGACATTATTTCTTCAAAATTAAAAGAAATTATTTACTTATATCTGAAAGACAACTCTTCTTATAGATTTTGTTCTTGCCCTTCACTTGAAATTCTTTGACTTGTCTATACTGTATAAGAAAGAAATAAGAAAGAAGACTTTATTTATTGATAAGTTAATCCTATTAAAAGTTGGATTATTTACTGATAAATCCTTTGCCTTTATAACTTTTTATTAAAAACTCCCATAAAATACTATATATATACCCGTATTACAGCAGTATAAACTGGGATGGAATGCTAGGACATGGTATTGATGGTTGCAGCTGTAGATGGCCCAACAGTTCATGCATGGAGCTTCTGTGAATATCTTTCTTTCTGATTCAATCATTATTGTCGGAATCACTTCATTTTGTGTTTCAATATGTAGTACATAACTAATCTTGTACAACTCTCTATTGGAGGATACTGTTCTAGTTTTCTAGAATTTTCTTGGTTTACTCTGTATTTTGAGTTACATCTATATCGCCTAGTCTGCAACTTGGCTATTACTGATACTTGTCAAAGACAACATTCATCCAAATAAAAAGAATCAATGCAGAACCTTTTAATCTTCTTCATTTATACCCTTCATAAAAAGTTTGATTATAAGAGTAAAGTTAGGATACTTATCTGCAGGGAAAGAGATGTGCTACACTTGGATTTACACTCAAAGGTACAAGTTCAAGCATGTGTAGCACTGGAAATTGCAACCCTACCACATTATTCATCAACTTGAACTATGCATAAGCATACACAAATTTAATACGTTCTTATATATATTCAACCTTCACACTGATCTTCCATTACTTATTTAGTAGACTTGTTAAACTATTCTGGAATTATCAGAAGTGCTAAGGTATATGAAGATTGTTTTCCTAGCTCGATTGGTAGTTTATCTTAGAGACAACCACCGGGTGCAAAGCCAACCCTTCCTTTAACATCATCGTAGACCACTTCATATGTTTTCTGCTGAAAATTTCCAAGAATCGCCACATCACCAGCATCCTTATTTTTGGCGAACGCCAGACACGCTTGCGATTCATTTCTCAAATACAAAACCCCGCTGTAATCGATCTCAACATTAATACCGCCATTAAAGACTATGCTGACTGTTGGTGTTCTAATAACATTATAACCACTAAAATCATAGCATGTGTCAAGGATCGAGAGCGGTGGTGCCCTTGGATATTTGGTCATCCATTTATGAAATGCCGATTTGAATTGAGCATATGCTGTTGGGGGAAGACGAGTGATTACAGTTCCGGAGTCGATAATCGCACCAGCTGTCTTGAAAACCGAGCTATTAATGGGTGCCCTCTGGCCGGCCACGTTTATTCCGATAATGTCAAGGCCGTAAAAAGGTGTTTTTTGGAATGATTTTGGCATTGGTGTGAACATGATATTCTTTGGGAGTTTGGTTGGACCAAAGGTAAGGTATCCAACTGAGCTATCCTTTGATGGTAAACAATGGGAAAAGATTTTCCTATATTTCTTGGCAGTTTGTGATACAAAGGAAAACTTGCCTCGTCCAAGTCCTATGAGCCCAGCTACACGGCTACTTAGAAGTTGGTTCTGTTGGCCGCAACCAAACAAGTAGCCTGGAAACACATCTGACCGTGAAATGGTTAACTTTTCTTTAGCCAAAAAGCCTATGGAAGACGACGAATCACCATAAGAGATACCGTACAGGCATGTCGAGGAAGAGCAACCCTGCTGCATACCTACATTTATAATAACAATAACAAAAATCTTCTCCTTCTCCATTATAAATTTAATGAATCTTTTTAGTGTTACTTTACCTTCAGCAGAAATTTGATTACATGTTGCTGCGCGACAGGTAATGTTGGCATATGACTTTGATTTTGATGGGTTGAATATTGGTTCGACTTGGTCATGGCAAAATCCTGCGCATGGCTCACATTGAGTCCAGGTGAAGTGACTTCCGGTGTCAAATATGAGAGCATATTTTTTCGTTGGCGTTCCAAACCCAACAGTGACGAGGTAGTTGCCTGTGCCAACGAAGACTCCTTTCTTGGTTGGAAGTGTAACAGCATCTATCTCCTCCATGGAATTCATGGAAAGCCTAGAGTGGATTGAATCCACCCGGGACTGGTCTTGACTTAGAATTTCAGCATGAGAGTGAGCATTTACTCTGTCTTGGTTCGATGCAAAGCATGGCCCATGCTTATGTACTACTTCTAGTGATGACTTTTTGTTGATTACTGAAATATATATACAAACATTTTCAAGAAACATTAAACCTTAATTATTTGTCAAAGCTCTTTTTATACAGATAATCATTGTTGCTGAAATTAATAATCTAAATACATATACTGTATCATATGCTCTAGTAACTATATATCTTGCTATGATTAATTAGATGTTTCTACCACCAAGCACTTGAACTAGTTAAATCCTGATAGCAAGGGATGTAACGCTGTAGAAATTAACCTTAAAATTACTATACCTTTGGTAGATGAGTTGCATACAGTTGATGGAAGCAGAGAACTTATCTTAATAAAATGAACATGTAAATGAAAATCCTTGGTTTCCAGAGTACTCATTTTTTCTTGCAAGGCATAGCTATTTTTTGAAGAGTGTAGAAGCAAGATAAAGAAGAGAAAAGGAGGAAGAAGGAAGGAGAACAAATTAGAGAAAATGGAAGTAGCCATGGACTAAATCTTTGTTTCTGCGTAATGTTCTACGATTCAAAATGATTGCTGCTTGGTCACCCCCTTATACAGAATCAATGGTGGAAAATACTAGTGCTAGTCTTAGCTTATGCATTTCACTATCTTATCCTTGCTCAAAATCTTTCTTCAAGCCCGACAGAGTTAAACTTAGTGGAAGCAAAAGTGCCAATAGTAACCAAAGTGAAAAGATAATTATTAGATCCATTTCTTAGAAGAAGAAAGTGCATCCCAAGCCAACTTTGGCCTAATTGATCGAGTCTCCATTTAGGAACCGGAAGCAATAATGGGATTGTTGATTTTTCATTTAAGGGACCATGGTTTTTTTTTTTTTGCAATTAGGGACCAGCATTCTTGGCTCCTATTTTGATCTGTATATAAAATTCAAGGTTTATCCCCATTAACAAAATAGAAAAACACAAGTGCGTCCATAATCCTCATTGTTTTCATATTTATCAAGTTGGTGGCCGGTAAGATTTAGAAACTTAGGTTCGATTTTCATTGTTGGGCTTAATAATCTTTTGGGTGGATGATCATAAATTTAATATGTCTTTGTTGAAATATATGATATGCTCTGATCTTGAAATAAAATAATTTCTCGTCACTTAAACATTTTTGTAATAAAAAAAATTATATAGGAACACAATCAAAGTCGTTGGAAAGCTTGTAAAGTCGAGAGAACATAGGAGTACTATTTGTCGTGAAAGTGATTTTTTTTTTTTAATACAAGTACATACTCTAACCTGATTTTATCCTAAGGTTTGTATTTTTTTGGACATAAGAAAGAATACTACATATTCTAATACAATAAATATATATTCATCCAACTCTCAATATTTCATCCAAATCTCATCCCATCTTTATTACTTGAATCAAAATCAAATGGCTACAAAACGCCTCAAAATATTGAAAGACTTTAACAGTAGACAATAGTTGAATCAAATCCTTTTGACAAATAATGACGTCATATAAAATAACTAGAAACACACTTTATCTATTCTGAAATCTTATACAAATTCAAGTACCATGAAAACGAATTTATATCATCTTTGATTAAAGTGTAAAGTGGAAGAAGAGGATTGAAACTGAAAATGGGAAATGTCCTAGTCTTTTATTTCCATGCTTGAGGATTTCGTTGATCGTGGGCTGCTATGTCTAGCTTTATCCGCCACGGGTTTGATCAATAGAAATGATTGGATTCAACACTCAAGAAAACTATACGATTACTTTTTGATGTGGCTCTTGCACTAGCCAAGCTTGGTGGTAGGAAACGGAACTTACTATATACAATGATTTATGACTATATATGAGCTGTAGCCCCCCAATTTTTTCCAGCTATTATTATTTCTTAATTCTGATTACAAGTTGCAGAAAAGTTGAACTGATACTAATTAGAGTCGTTTTTTTTTTTTTCCAATAGTGAAAGATAGAGCTTTCGCCAATAACAGTTATTCAATCTTTCTCCATCAGCATTACTGTATGATGATGAAGGACCTAATTTGAAGATTCTCTTCTCCATTAGATGACAAACTTACTGGCATCCCCCGGTCGCAAATCCAACTCTTCCTCCAGCACCATCATATACCACTTGCAGTGTCTTCTGCTGCGTATTCCCAAATATCGCCACATCACTGACATCATCATTTGCAGCAAATGCTAGGCATATCTGAGAAACACTTATAGAGTACAAAATCCCCTCTTGGGGGATTGCCAACTCAATGCCTCCGCTGAAGAAGAAGCTTATCTTTGGTATGGTAACGGATTTGTAATTTCTAAAATCATAGCATGTGTCAAGTATTGAAAATTTTTTAGCCTTTGGATATTGGCTCATGCTTTGTCGAAATGTGGACCTCAGTGCTGCGTATGCAGCAGGTGGCAAGCGTGTGATAACAGTTCCAGAGTCAATGATTGCACCGGCAGTGGTGAAAACTGATTCTGAAATCGATAGTTTTGTGCCACCAACGCTGATTCCAGTAATGTCAAGGCCATAAAAAGATGTATCTCGGAAGCTTTTGGATAATGGAGTGAATTTTACAGATTTTGAGCTGCCCCTACCTTTTCCAAAAGTGAGGAAACCGGTTGAGCTGGAGGATGATGGCAAGCAGTAAGAGAAAATTTTCTTGTATTTCCTGGCTGTTTGTGAAGGCAAAGCTAATTTATCTCGGCCAAGTCCCAGCATACCGGCTGCACCAACAAAAAGACCTTGGTTGTTTTGGCCACAACCGAAAAGAAAGTTGTTGAACACATCTGTTGACGTTAAGGTTAGCCTTTCTTTGGCAAAGAATCCAATCGAGAAAGAAGAGTCTCCGTATTGAATGTCATAGACACATGTCGATGATTCGCAACCTAGTGGGTTCCCTGCTAAAATTTTGTCAGCCCCGTATATCTCATAAAATTTTCATCCAACTTCTAATTTTATTCTCAATTTGACCTAACCAAATATCAGATTGGTCACTTATGAATACCTGTTGCAGAAAAGAGTGAATTGCATAGTGCCGTATTGCATGAAACGTTGGAATATGTTGAGGAAGCAGAGGGGTCAAATATTGTCTCCTGCTGCTGATAGCAATACCCTGCGCAAGGCTCACATTGTGTCCAGGTGATGTCGCTTCCTGTATCAAATATGAGAGAGAGTTGTTTCTTTGGGGTGCCAAGACCCACGATGACTATGTAATCGCCCGACCCCACCACACTACCATCCCTGGCTGGGAGATTGGCGTCATCAGTCTCCTTCACATCTGACCTGGAGCCTGAGTTCTTGGCTAGTCTGGACTGAATATATCTGACTCGGGCTTCATCTTGGAAGAGAGTCTCCGCATGAGTGAGATGGTTTTTTGCTCTGCCTTGATGGAGCTGAGAGCATGGGCCATGCTTGTGGACAACTTGTAAAGATGATTTTTTGTCGAGACCTGAAACTGAATGCCATACTTTATAAAATACACATAGAAACAATCAAACCAATTGAAAATCGAATCGAACCATTATCGTGTTACTTGATTCATAAGATTCTTGTTATTATATTTGGTTTGATTTTTTAACTGGATCATGTTAGAATGCCATATAGCATCTAAGATAGACAGTGAAATGCTATACGAAAAATGGAAGTGGACCTGGACTCTCCAAACAAGAATTGGTCTAACATTGATATATAGGCTTCAGTATCTGTATAATAATCAAAGATCTCCAATTTTTTAGTTCTAGTTGAACTTAAAATCTGCTGCAACTCTCTCACCCTTATATATTTGCATATATGAGATGGCAAAAAAATATATATATATATTTGAGACCTCAGGCTGGCCACCTGAACAAAATTATAGAATCTTTTTTTTTTTTATACACGATAAAGAATCTTAATATAAGTGTATAGTGATAAAGGAACCTTTGGTAGATGAGTTGCAAACGGCTGATGGCAGTAGAGCATTGACGTGAATAATATGGTGAAGATCATTGCTATCTGTACTACTCTTTGTTCCTTGGAAAGCATAACTCTTTTTCCAAGAGCAGAGAATTAGCAAGACAAAGACGACAGAATTAGCTGAAATTAGGAGGTTTGGGAAAATAAAAGTGGCCATTGATAAAACACAACCTATCTTTAATTTTTTTTCAAATATATACAATTGGAAATGAATGCTGCTTGTTCTTCACCTCTATATATAATGTGGTTTAAGGTTAATATTTTTAATAAACTTATAATTATTATAATATAATTAATCAATTATAATTTAACATTACATGTCGTTCATAAAAAAATTATATAAAACTCACACTTTTAAATGATAAATCTTTATATAATTCTTGATTATAATTAATTAATTATAATATTATAATACAAAATTATAAATAATATGAATCCGTATTTTAGTATTGTTCTTATAATTTCCTAACAAGATTATTTGCCTTCCTTTTTTTTTTTAATCATGCTCAAATTTTCAACACAAAGAACTAAAATTACTGGGAAGCAAAAGTTGCATTAACGATTATAGTCAAAAGATAATCATAATTACATCCACTAATCGTTGGCTACAATCTCTCAAGATAAGAAGCACTGCATATCCAATCTCGGCCCTTGGGATTTCAATGGCTGTTGCATTATATAAAGAATTAAGGACACTTATCTCTTCCAAAAGGCTAAAAGCTAAAGTCAAGACAAATTGTGATGACTTAAAAATGTCAAATGTGAGTATTGAGAATATAATTAATTGATACATTTTTTTTTTTACTTTCATTTTTATTTAACAAATTAAAAAAAATTAATAGTATCAAAATTTTCCTGCTATCATTTTAAAAAAATGAAATTTAACAATTTAAAATTTAAAATTTAACATCTATAATACCTTGTTTTAATACAAAACAACGAATTTCTTTATTAAAAAAAAAAAAAAAACAGCCTCAGTATTTAATTCCATAATTATATTGTTGCAATTATTTTTATTTAAATTAGAACTTTGAATGAAATAATAGTCGCCTGGGCCATGAATCAGCCACTAGAGAGACAGAGAAGATTGGAGCCAAGGAACCTTGTCTAACTTATCTAATGGCTAATGCACTAAGGATTGTTATTGGAGGAGTAACCACCCCAAAGTAGACGTCAACGCACTAAAATCCGTTCGACCGACGACTTCCAAATTCCAATGGTGGGAGACTTAAATCTGGTAAATGCGCATTCGATATGAAAAAGATTGCGATTATTTTTAAGGGCGTGGGCTTATACAGATAATGGCCACGAATAACAACCATGATTGGCTTAGTAATATATACTAATATTAGATTATAACCCTTGTAATTTTATTTATTTAATATAAATATATATATATATACACAAATTAATTTTTTTTCAAAATTATATTCAAAATTTTTAAAACTTATAACATATATAAAATTTATATATATTAATTTATCATTAAAAAATAAACTTTCTGAAAGCAATAAAAAAAAATTATGTTTTTCTTTTAGATATTTTTATTTGTAATAATATTTATACATCTGTAAAATTATATCAAATAAAAATAAATTATATTTAAAAAATAAAAATATATATTATTAAATAATAAATTAAATAATAGAAAAATATTAACATACTTTCATATTAGTAATCTTGACTAAATTATTATACAAAATATGAAAAATGTTAGAAAATATGCAAAAATTGAAAAAAATATTATTTTTCATAAGAATGAAACTATAATAATAATAAAATATATCTTAGAAAAAATTTACTAAAAAAATTGCAATAATAATAAAATATACCTTAGAAAAAAGTTAATGAAAAAAATAAAAAAATTAATGTATAAAATATAATTTTGTAGTTTTAAATTTGTAAAAGAATTCTTTAGTAACAATTAGGATTTAATAGATAATTTTTAAATTAATTTTTTAAAATTTAAAATGAATATCATAAGTGATAAAGATAATATTAAATTTTTTACATTTATTTGAAATATAAATTTAATAAATAGAGTTCAAATGGATATAATTATTTTGATAATCTGATTATTTAAAGATTTAAAATGAAAATTTTTTGAAATTTCAAAATCTTACATAAAATTTGCTTAAATTTTTAATGTCTTACTTAAATTTTTTAAAAAGATAATATTTTAAATCAAGATAAAAAAATTATTGAAAGATTTAGATAAACTTAATCTTTGTAATTTTTAAATATGTTATAAAAGATTTTGATAATTAAATAATTTTTTAAATAAGGTTATTTGGTAAACAATTAAAATTATTTATTAAAAAATAAAATCTGTATTTCATTTTTTAATTTTAAAATATATATCTTTAACTTGATTTGATTTTTAATTATAATTTGAATAAATCTAAAACTATCTTATTCTTTTAAAAAACTATTATATGTGTCATTTAAAAAATTATTTACATAGGTACTTATATGGTAGACTTATTTATATATGTTGTTATACATATATATATATATATATATATATATATTATATGGGGAATGAGCTATGAGTGTGAAAGAACTTAAAAAGAAAATTACCATGTGGCCCATCTTATACCACAAAATGGTGGATATGATATGGGAGACATTCTGGTTTTGGATAAGCTAAAGATTTTATTTATCCAAAGAAAGAATTATCCTATTTCAAATTACAAAGATAACATATTACAGCAACTAAAAATCAAACAAAATTTCCTGAACTGAACTCCATTGTTTGACAAAAATCCTTGAACTGATAAGGGAGATATTACTTTCAAGATATAGAAAGATTGTTGTAATTTGTATAATAATTCATATGAAAATCTGCTGTTACTTATTTGGTTTCGAACCAAGGAATGAAAGAAAGGAGTAAGACAGATTGGTGACAGCAATGATCCAGGATTAAATGTGGGGAAATTCCTCTGGCTGTTCATGTACGCGAATGGGATGGCGTTTTAAACAATAAACACACTTAAATATGGCAACTAGAAGGTATTCACTATTTTGTGGAACCTTGGGCTTGTCCCCTGTTGGGTCAAGAGGCAGAAGTCCTGCAGGAGTTGGGATTCTTATCCCAATTCCCGCAAAAATTGAAGCGGTCCTGCTCAGGTTTTTTTTTTTTCTTCAAAAAGAGATACGTATTTTATGATTTGAAGGTTTAACATTGCCTTTGAAAACCATGTCTTGGTTATTATTGTAAATAAGTTTGCAGCAAACATTTGTTTTTGTTTCCTTAATTATGGGGTACAAGTAGCAGAAAAGTACTTGAACTAAAATGGACTCCACCTATGGAGTTCGGATAACTTTCACTGTATATCAATTATTTCAATCTTCAACCACTCTTTTTTTGTCATACATATGGATTATGATTTGACAGCTAACTTGAAGATTTTCTTCTAGATTAGCTTAAAAACTTAGGTACAGCCCCCTGTAGAAAATCCAAGCCTCCCTGCAGCACCATCGTATAGCACTTGCAATGTCTTCTGTTGTGTATTCCCAAAAATCCCTGTATCTGAGTCATCACTGTTTCCGGCGAACCCTAGGCACACTTGTGAGATACTACTAACGTAAAAAACACCCTTTGCTGCGATAGGAACCTCCACACCCCCGCTGAAGAAGAAGCTTATCTTAGGAAAGCTAACTGAAGAATATTTGCTAAAGTCATAGCATGTGTCCAGGATTGAAAGTGGTTGTGCCATTGGATATTGGCTCATCTGTTTTCGAAATGCAGACTTCAGTGCCGCATAGGCAGTTGGTGGCAGCCGCGAGATGACGGTTCCAGAGTCAATGATTGCGCCACCAGCGGTGAAAACAGATGCTGCGATTGATAATTTTTGGCCACCAACGCTTATTCCAGTAATGTCAATACCGTAAAAGGATGAACCTTGGGAGATTGTGGACAACGTTGTGAATTTTATGGATTTTGAGGCGCCACCGTCGCCAAAAGTGAGGAAACCAGTTGAGCTGGCGGATGATGGTAAGCAGTAGGAGAAGAATTTCTTGTATTTTAAGGCGGTTTGTGATGGCAAAGATAATTTATCTCGGCCAAGTCCTAGTAAACCGGCTGAGCCACCAAAAAGACCTCGATTGTTTTGGCCGCAACCAAATAGAAAGTCATTGTACACATCACTTGGTGTCAAGGTGAGCGTATCTTTAGCAAAGAATCCAACTGAGAAGGACGAGTCTCCATATTGGATAGCATAGACACAAGTTGATGATGAGCAGCCAGGTGAGTTGCCTGAAAGCGTATAAAAAGAGAGAATTAACATTTTTTTCACTGGAATAGCTGGGCTATGGCTTGGGTAAGTCCCTAATGAGTCCACAATTTTGAATTCTGGAAGGGGTCCAGCAAATTTGTTTTAATTAACAAGTAATTGTCCACCTTCTTACTCATAAAACTTTCGTTTGATTCTTTGTCTAACACGAAAATTTATTTTTTTCCCAAGTTTGTCACCAAAGTTACCTGTTGCAGAAGCCAGTGAATTGCAAACTGTTGAGGTGCATGAAATGTTGGAATATGTTGAGGATTGTGAGGGCGAAAAAATTGGATCCTGCTGTTTATAGCAAGATCTTACGCAGGGCTGGCATTGTGTCCATGTGATGTCACTTCCAGTATCAAATATGAGAGATAAATCTTTCTTTGGGGTGCCAAGACCCACGGTTACTATGTAATTGCCCGATCCCACCACACTACCATCCTTGGCAGGGAGAGTGGCTGCATCAGTCTCCTCGACATTGCTGGAGCCTGGATAAATCTTGGCAAGTTTTGACCGAATAGACTTGACTCGGGCTTCATCTTGGAGGAGGACCTCGGCGGGAGTGGGAATATTTGCTTTATCTTGATGAAGTCGAGAGCATGGACCGTGCTTATGGACAACTGGTAAAGATGCCTTTTTGTCCAAAGCTGAGATTGAAAGCCATGCATCATATCCAATAAGATAAAGTGTTAGAAACAATACTACTACTATTACAATTAACTACTAAAATAGGAACAAAAATGATTTGCCCCTTCAATTGTGAGAATAGAATATGCCTTTTTTTCCTATAACTTAAAAAGTAATTGTTGAGTGGGGGACACCCAATACAAGAAATGGGCCAATAAGTCTATTCCTTTGATGGGGTTTATGCTTATTTAATTTTAATTATGGAAAAAATTTTGGATAAACATTGTTTCACATCCTTGCATTATTGATTCATTGATTATTTACCATTAATTTTTATTATTAAGTATCTAAAACCTAAGTGGATGATGCACAAATAATGGGGATGAAAGTGACTGCCAAATAATGCATTAGCTAAAGATTGAAAGAAATGTTTTAAAAATAAGAGAGCATGGGCTTCCAATAAAGAAAAAAAACATAGAAAAGCAAAAATCATAGACAATTATGAGATTTACCATCTTGTGGCTGATTGAGAACAAAGTAGTGTTGCGTAGGTGTTTAATTGCTGTTTCTTAGAAGAATTTTTTTTAATTGCAAGATTCTTTGTGCTAAAGGTCTATTTAGTATTAAGGATATAAACTAATTCATCCTTTCAGGGACAAAAACCAAACTTATCAACAAAAAATTCAAGTAATTCGGACCACACAATTTTAAGGCAAGTAGAAGAATACATAGGATTTTTTTTTTTTTTTTTTATGTCTGAACGTTGCTTTTCACGAAGAGATTCTTATGTTTCTTTTTCGATTAATAAAAAAAAAAAAACCAATATTCCCCAAATTTCTAGCCACCAACAAACAACTAGGGAAGTGGAGAAGAAATGCTGGAAATAAATTTATAATAAATATTCAAGGTCGAAAATATTAATTAAAAATTTCCAAACTTTTAGTTCCAAATGCTCTTCTTAATTTTGCTTTTTTTAATTATTTATGTTTGCAATCACGTGAAATCCCCGTCCAAAAGTCTCGTTCAATCATTGTATCACCAACCACAAACCTGACCTTAGCCATTGCCCTGCCCACGAGTTGCAGGTGGAAAAGAAAAATATACGATCAATGACCAATCAAACTCCTCTTGATTATGTTTGTTTGAGTAATGTTTCAAGACCAAACTTTTTTTTTTCTTCGTTAGTGTCTTATGACCAAACCATGCTAGAATGGGTCTCAAGTACAAACACCACTAGCCCCTCGGGACTAGCTGGGTTTCAAATTCAAAAGAAATTAGTGGGCTTTGGATACTATATGGATGTCGGAAAAGAAAACTTTGGGGATAACTTTCTTTTAAAAAAAAAAAAAAGATTTTTCAAAAGCCTAATGTATATCTATATATATATATATATGTATAACTTGTATACTATTACATATATTTACAAGTAGAAAAAAGAGTATGATGATATCAGCTTAATTAATTGGATGATTTCAATTGCAAAAAAAAGGTAATGGCTTTAGGACACTCGGTTTTTGGTGTTAGTCAAATAGTTTCTCAATGGACATGAGTCAGTCAACTATTTTCATGATTAATCATCATTGAAAATTGACTTAGATTACTAAAATACCTTTAAACAATTGTGGGATTTGGGAGCAGAAAAAGAAAGGCTAGATGCTGTGTTTCTCCAACAGGCAAAGCAGCAGAGAGAACACATTGACTATCATCATAAGCTTGATTGATAGCATGAATGCCGGGCAGCGCAGATATACTTGTAACAATCCCAATAATAGCTGATAGCATAATCATCAATAACAATACTACTTATGATAATACTGATTAATTTATATACAGTACTCGCGACAAAGGTAAAGTTGGAAAAAAAAGTCAACAAGCCAAGGGTTCAAGGCTGGCTGCTTTGTATGTGTGCGTGTGTGTGTGTGTGTGTGTGTGTGTGTGTGTGAGAGAGAGAGAGAGAGAGAGAGAGAGAGGTAATTTAACCTTGGGCTGCAGGGCTACAAACAGAGGAGGGTAGAAGAGAGCTGACTTGGATGGTGTGGCGGTGCTGAAGGTGGTGGCTCTCGGCAGTTGCACTAATTCGTCCCAAGAAATAGCCCTCCTTCAAAGAGCAGACAAGACATACAAGAAGAAGATAAGCAGAGAGGAAGGTGGGGAAAATGGTAGCGGCGCCCATGGTCCACCTTAATTTCTATTTGATTTTCTTATCTTACAACCACGCTCCACTACATATATATATTGTTGGTCACCCTTGCAAGGCGTATGAGAGTGACACAAAGATCACCAATTCTTACACGTCATCCTTGAATGATACACAACTAACAAACTCCACACCACAGCTATATACCCAATTATCTCTCTCTGGTATTTTCAAAAAAAAAAAATCTTTGTTGTTAACTCCGCCCGGCCGAAATCGTCATTAGCTTGGGAATTCACGAATAGGCGGTGAACACGTTGGCCACCAAGGGATTGTTTTCACTCCACTTTATTTCGAAAAAATAATGCTAAATATTCAATTTGTTTTCCCAAGGAAAAAATAATTTTTTAGTACATATAGTTAAGTTATTATTATTATTATTATTATTATTATTATTCTCACTTCTAATAAAGAATTAAACCATAGATTGTCCAAATTCGTAAGACTTTCTCTATCGTTGATGAAGTTGCAAATTAAAAGCAATATGCTTATTCCAAGCTATCTTTGTTTTATTCCGTATACATCAAATCAGAAGCCTTCTTCACGGCACAATGTGAACCCTGGAATGTAAGGTAATGTTTACGTGAAGCTTGCATGAAATTGGGTCCCTTCCCCTCCCCAATTAACAACATTTTTTGGGCCGGATTGTGACTTTTTGGAGCCGAACCATTGTTACTTGCTCTGTTTTAGGCATACCCATGTTTTTAATGGGAAACTAATGAAATTTCCTTTTCAAATAATGGTTCTATACAGTGGCTGGGAATCCAAAATCCACCCGTATGGTTTTCATCAACCGTCTATCATGAAATATAACATGATGGGGTTTCTTTTTTCCTGTGAATTTCATGATGAAGCAATAGATAAGGGCCATAGCTTTTGGTCAGAGTTCATCTAAAAAATTCAAATAAACAAACCACTTGTTTATGCTTTACACGATCATGATCAAACTTTGAAGTCACTGGTTTTGCTTTATTATTTTATTTCTTTATTTAGTGCGAGTTATCCCTTTAGGCCCTTTAATTCCTTAATTACCTCAAATCTGTGGTATAAAAGTACTTGAAATTCAACCTCATCGACTCCTTGTGCTACCTTCTATATGATAATTGCCAAATAAAGGCTCTAATCTTGAACGAGTTTTTACAAAATGAAGGGCAGCGATAGGAGAAAGACCAAACTTTTAAGTAATCTTTCTTAAAATAAAATTAAATTTGGAAACTCAAACGGAGTTTACTTATTTATTTATGCTTCTAAATTATGCCTAAATCTAACATCTATCTTTTTTTATTTAAAAAAAATTGAGTCTAATACCTACTTAAGGATTTCCACCTAGTGGCTCCCATATATGATGATATATCTACGTTGATTGTAAATGTTACTGAAAACAACTTAGATGGAATTTTTTGCATAAAATTTGCAAAGTTTTTATTATAAATAATTAATTAAAAATTAAAAATTAATAGATTAAAATATTTTATTATATAAATTACGTAAAATTTGAAAAAATAAATAAATTTTGATATTCTTTTTAAATAGGTATTTTTGATAAAAAAATTTTAATATAATTTTATTATTAAATAAGTATCAATCAAATTTATATTATAAATTATATTTAAAATATTTTTCAGATACTATTAATTTATCATTAAATTTTATCAATTTATTGATTTAAATTTTTTTATTAAATTTATTTTAAATAAAAACTTTATAAATTTCACATAACAAATTTTATCTAAACTATGCACGTTATCAAGACCAATTACTGAAAAAAAAATTAGAATCTATTTTACTGGGAGTTCGTACAAAAGAGGCATGCCGGCTGTCAATTGGAAATCCAAGCACTACTGTAAAAGGGGCAAAGGCCAAAACTTGCACCTAACAAATAATTGAGGAGTCCACGTAAGATCTCTAAAAGCTTAAAGCAATTATTAAGTGAAAGTGCTACTTAACCTATCTAAAAGATTATAATAATGCATAACAAAGAAAATATCTTTTGCAAAACTCAATAGATCCTTTTCTTTTTTAAACCAAAAAAAAAAGAAAAAGAAAGATAAATACCAAATCCAGAATACATAATTTTTGCACCCATAGTATACGTAGTTCTAGATGATATTTTTGTCAAAATTGGCGTCAATTTTGGGACCCATTACTCCACTTGAAGATGCTCGGAAATTCCTTGAATCTTCAAAGTTTCTGCACATATTTGTCAGCGCCTACAAAGACATGAACCACTAGGGTCTCACTTTGACATGAACATTGAACAATTGGTCTCGCTTGTTCTCAATTGTGTTTGGAAACTAGTTTTCTACAGGCCTATACAATAAGTGGTGGTGGGCACTAATAAAGTTAAGAGTCTGTGCTAAGGCATCCTGTTTGGCTGTTTGCGAACCAAATATTATTTTAGTGGGTGGTGGATGAAAGCTGGAATCTTTCTGTTCCACAAGAGGGAGATTGATGGGTTAACGACTTATCATGATATAAATTTTCAACTTTTCATATTTTTCTTTGGGTCCATGTTTCCTTTTGTCCTGACCCATTTTCTTTTTCTAATTTCACACTTGATTAAGAAACAAGAAAAAAAAATGGGAAAGAAAAGGAGTTGGTGTGGTTTCAATTCATCATCAGCAGTTACTGTTTTGCAAGCTCTTTGCAACAACCAATCAAATAATGCAAAGAAAAGAAAGTGAGTAAATGTAATGCTCTGATTTGGCAATGCTTATAGTGAAAAAAAAAAAAAAAAAACCTGAGTTTAGTGCCGACTGTATACTTCCACTCACATACTCCCTATATCCCAAATTCCAACTATAATAATAGGAATGAAAATTGAATAGAAGTCTGATAATAGGCTAATAACAAAAAGAGCATACATTTTCTCCTTATCTTTCAAACTTAAGACAAAACCATTAGCTAGTGGTTGAGGCACATTTCCAACATGGGAGCTTCTAGTATTCAAATTTCTTTTTCCTTGATAATCCATCATAGAATCCTCTAAAGTGGGTGATAAACTGTTAAATATTTCCTCAAGTTCACACAACAAGATCCTCCTTTTATGTAGCCAATTACATTGCCCATTTGAAAATACCCTTATTTGTCTTTTCTACTTGTAGTGAAACCAGAGGCAGAATCCATTCATACTACAGATGCATTGAAGATTTGTTTGCCCATCGGTGGCATTAACAATTGTGAAAAATTGAGGCCAGAATCTGCTATCAATCTTTTGAATGGAAATGGATTCCAAGAAGCCAAAGCCAATTGGCATGTAGGACTGTTTTATATCTGACTATGACTGACCTGGACTATCTTGTAGAAAGAAATCGCGAGTGAAGAACAATTTGAAGAACTTAGCATTAGCTATTTTCTAGTAACTTTGGGACACTTTGCTCGGTTAATACTTGTTACCCTACATTTTTTTCAAGTATTTTCTCATCTCTTCTCCTTCATAGGCAAGAAAGACAGCGGCCTTGACTGCCACAAGAACTCTCAACAAAAGATGAGGAACACAGAAATTCAGCAAATAATCAGATCATGAACAACCAAAGATAAAAATTAAAAAAAAAAAAAAAGTCTACAATGTCCATAATCAAAAAATATGAAAGGTTAAAAGTTTACCATGATCAAGTGTCTTTGGCCGTTTGAAACCTAAGCAAAGAGAAGAATGTAGTCATTCTTCTCAAGCTTTAAGACTTCAATTGATAGTCCTTTTCTCAAAGTGGAATAGCTCCAAACGTGCGAATTGCAATAGATCTTAATAACAATTTCCCTTTGCTATGCCGGTATTTTTAGCAATAACTAAGCTGAAACTACAAATATTCTTCCTTCATTCTTTCTTGGGGGGGATCTTAATGACACTGGCTAATGAAATACAAGAATGATGCACATTAAAAAAGCTAGCAAAAACGTAGGCCTCTCCAAAGAAATATAAGTGCTCACCCCAGTAGGTTGATCTTCATGCCTATTTCAAGAACTAAAAGGGAAAGAATGCAGTTGGTCCTCAATTGCAGAACAAAGAACGACATGAAAACAGGCCAAGAGACTCATGCAACACCCGGAGTTCCTTCCATTGCAGATTCATCAGCACTTCCTCTTCACCATCAGAGTTGTCATATAGAAAACTTTATCACAGCTTTTTGAGTACATGAAGTCGATGTCTAAGATGGCCCGAATGGAAAAATATTAACGAGTAAAAAATGGTGAGGAGCGAAATCTCATATATGAACTACAAGAACTGCTTGGATTATAGCAGCTGTACATCACCAAAATTTTCTTGCCATGAATAGCCATAACTTGTAGCCAATTAATTTGACTTAAAGATGAATAAGCAAGAGATTTGACATCTTTTGGAAGGCATCGTCTCTTCATTGTTTGTGCATCCTTAAGAAACTCCCTGCACTCAGCAGCTTTATATCACAGCATCCAATGACTCATCAGATGTCAAAGCATCTAAACCCAGATTAGTATCTAACCATGTCATTTCCTCCATCAATTCCCCTAGCATTTGATATATCTCTTTACAATGAGGATGTGACTGATCTTCAGCATTGAAAGCATGAACCTTATTCTTAATCTCTATCCAACTCCAACCAGGAATCTTTTTAACTCCCCTCTCCCGCATCAACCTTGTTAGGCTAGCTTTTTCATCCCATCTTCTCAGATGTCCATACATTTGAGAGAGTAGAACATAAGTGCAATGCTCTTCAGGCTCTAGTTCTAGCAGATGGCTTGCTACCTGAGTAGCTAATTCAATGTCACCACAAACCCTACAAGCACCCAACAAAGTCTTCCACACCATTGTGTCAGGTTTAAATGGCATTGATTCAATTACGGTCTTTGCCTCATCTAATCGCCCAGCCCGCCCAACTAGATCAACTGCACAAGCATAATGCTCCATACGTGGCGGAATCCCATAATCAGATTCCATAGATTTCAGAAAATTCAATCCTCCTTCCACATGACCAATATGACTACATGCAGTTAGAACTGCAACAAATGTTATATGATCAAGCCTCACCCTTCTGTCTCTCATCAGGTAGAATAGGTCAAGGGCAATAATGCCCTGGCCATTTTGTGCATAGCCAAAAATTATTGAATTCCAAGCAATTGAGCTGTCTTTGGGAGTCTCTTCAAAGGATTTTCGAGCATCATCAATTATCCCGCCCTTGGAGTACATAAAAATCAATGCACTTGCCACAAATTCATTTGTCTCAAAGCCTGATTTGAAAGCCAAGACATGAACCTGCCGACCTAATTGAAGTGTTGCTAAATCTGCGCAAGATCTAAGGACAGCAGAAAAGGCATAGTGGTCAATCTCCACCATCGAAAATCTCATTTGCCCAAACAATTTCAAGGCATCTTCACTCAATCCAATCTGGGAAAAACCAGTCAAAATGGAGTTCCAAGAGACACGGTCCTTCAATTCCATGGACTGAAATAAATTTAAAGCTTCTTCCATAGAATTATTATTTGACTTGAGATACATTGCTATCAGTGCATTGGAGATAGGCACGTAGTATTCCCATCCCCTCTTAATAAGTACAGCATGCAAGGATTTTCCATGACTTTTGTGTTCTTTTTCAAAACAAGCACTAAGGACACTAGTGTAAGTATAGATGTCTGGTTCAAACCCCAACCCTTGCATATCCAGAAAAAGTTTAAAGCCGAGTTCTTCTTTCTCATGAACCAAGTAAGCAGCTAGCATGGAATTCCACGTTACCAAATCACGCATGCCAACTGCACCATCAAACACTTTTCTGGCATCTTCGATTGAGCCACACTCTGAATATGAAGTTATCATCGCATTGCACACGGTATTATCAAATGCCAGCCCATTTTTTATAATCTTGCCGTGAATTTGAGTTGTCAGCTTATAAAACTCAATATCATTAAGCAATATAAGAAGCGGAGCAAACGTGCCATCCTCAACCCTCACGCCTTCCTTCTCCATACAACCTAGAAGCCAAAATGCAGTGCTACGATCACCCACTTGTGAAAAGCCAGCAATCAAAGCATTCCATGAGACGGAATTAGGTTCTGATAAGCATTCAAATACCATGTAAGCATCTTCAACCTTCTCACACTTGGCGTACATATCCAAAAGAGCACTCCCTGGATATACATTTTCCTCATAACCCATCTTGACAATCATTGAATGCAGCTGTTGGCCAACTTGAAGTCTATAAGAGGAAGCCACACCCTTAAGTAAACTCCCAAAGGTATAGGCATCAAAACCAAAACCACATCTTTTCATGTTTTTCAGAATCTCGCATGCCGTCTCTAAGTTCCCACAATTTACATACCCAGAGATCATCGTGTTCCAAGAAACGGAGTCTCTGTGGGGAATTTCGGCGAACAGTTTGCGAGCAATATGTAACTCTTTGCATCTTGTATATAAGTTTATGATTTTGTTGGCAGTGTAAACATCGACGAGAGTCCCCAATTTGATAGCGCAACAATGGGTTGTTAAAACCTTGTAAAACGCGCAAGAGGAGCTCTCAATGAGTGAGTTCAACAGCGTCCTCATACATGGGTAAACTTGTTTTGTTACCTTAAAATGATATGGTGATCCTCCAGCGGACAGTGCCGACACAAGGGGCAATATTTGGAGTATCATATATCCTTGGTTTTTAAAGTGAAACCTAAAACTGTTTTTTTTTTTTTCTTTTCTTTTTATTTTTTAAATAGTAAAATGCTGAATGCATACTTTTTTTATAGATCATTTACTTAAATTCATTTACTCATTTTTTTTAAGGGAAAAAAAAAAGGCAAAAAGTAGCACCAATAGTTTTCTGATTTAACCATTGGTTATGTCCTTTAGGCTTTATTTTAGGCTTTTGGGCCTAGAGACCAATTCTTTTATAGTAGGCCCAGATCGTAACCTTTGTGCTTTGCTCCGGATATGATTATGGTGTGAATAAATCACTGTTCTATACTCTGTTCCTTAACTTGTTAATTTCATTGTAATAGTGTTAAAAAGAAGAAGGAATTCCTTTTTTTTTTATTTCATCGTACGACATGATTAGATTTTCCCTTCTCCAAAATATACATGTCTAGTGGACGACAATTGATACAAGCACAAGAGCCATTAGTTGAACAGTAAGACAGGAATAATTATATTGTTATGATTCATTCTGAACATTACCCAAGTACCTAAAGCTTTTATATATATATATATATATATATATATATATATATTTTCACCCATTAATTATTAGCAAAGGAACAAGATTGTCGAATTTCCCCTTCGGCATCTGTTTTCACTCCAATGATAGTGAGCTTCAAGAATGACTCCCCCCAACTCCGGAAAAAGATTTGCTGATCGTTTGCGAAAGCTTCTACTTGTTTCCTTGTTCTTCCATCCTCTAGAAGAACAGAATCTGACTGAAACAATCCTTTGTGGGCTACGAGATTGCTATAGTACTGATTATCGAACGCAAAGGATGTCTCAGGATCATTGCTGACTGTGTTAGATGTGCTTGCCCCTGCTGGACACTTTTTCATAAGCTCTTCTGCATAGGTACTGTCTAAGGTTGTGTCAATCAACGTGAGCTTTCCCTTGGAGTCTCGCTGGAATCGATCACTGAATGCACTACAATGAGCTAGTCCTATAGTATGAGCGCCTGTAAAGCCAAAGCTCAAAGCCATTAAAGCTTCTAGCAGATAGAGCACCCATGTTTCCATTCTTTACATCCCAACAAAGGCAACTTTTCAGCAAAACTTACGAGGGTAGTTTTGTTTTGTCTTTGGTTATATAGATGTTTAAGCGTCCTACAAAATTTCGATTAATGTTGTACAAAACAGCTTAAGCTATACCCTCACAGAAGTGCATTAATTTAAAATAAAAGAGAGATGAAGATACTATTACTCTTTTATTATTTAAATACCTGACAGCGTAACAAGGTCATCCAGGGACAAGTCTTTAGAATTGAAGAGCTTTATCATCTCATCCATGGTAAAACTTGTATCTACAATATTGGGCCTGACATTTGCAGCGTTGGATATCCTCCCATCTCTCCTTCCAGTTGGAATCTGAAATGCAGGTCCACCAGCCTGTTCCAGGATAACTATGATTAATCCCTCAATAGAAGATGCTGCATGCAGATACGGTGGGGAAGAAAGTCAAGGGAACATTAATTGAAGAGTAAAATGAAGATGTGGACTAGAGATTTTACAACTGCAACTGCATCTCTTGCAGCCAAAGCAATAATATCAGCACAAGAAACGGTTCCCGGACAGAAGATTTCGAGCACCCTTTTAGCGGAATCAATAACTGAAAATCCTCCGAGAGAGGTATTAGCTGGATCACTTCGCTCTGTCCCATTTCCTTTTAACAGTACTGATGCATCACAACCCTGAACATAAACTAATAATAATTACACATAGTAGCAACTATTATTTGGATTTTGGAATAGCCAGTCAAAAAATTTCTTTGAATTTTGATCACTTAATGCAACTTTTAAGGTGATAAGGCGTTTAACCAAAATGGGACTGACCTCCACGAAACAGTCATGGAACAACAGGCGCAATAGTTTCCCGGGGATGGTTGGATCATTAGAGGAAGCTGATCTGACCGTGTTGCTAACGATGAACTCCGCAGCGGGACATGATGTTGCATAGAAGTTGAAAGAGAGGCTAGCATGTGAAGGAGAAGCAGCAAAAGAGAAAAAAACAAGAATAAGAAGAGTACAGAGATTAGGTGTTGAGAAAAGGATAGAAATTTTCGTCTCCATTGAGGCCTTGATTGTCTAGCATAAGTGCATAATTAGTACTGCTCTGGCCTTTGGTCTACACTCTACACTTCATACTGAATTACTGATAAATTTCGAGTAAAAGACAATCAACTGGCCAAAGGTTGCCATGCCCCACGACCTCCCTCTATTTAAAGCTGCAGTTATGGGCTTAAGCTACTGTCAGAAGGGTAGATGGGTTAACTCATGAATTTAATCACATTTGGCCAAGCTACTTCACAGGAAACATTTAAGGTCACTTTAACTTCCACCAAGCATTCCCGAAATAAAAATGTTTCTATAACTAAATATTAATACCCGTAGTAATTAATAATTTTCTTGGACACTTGATAATGTGATACCAATATCATGCAAGAATGGTTTCTAGTTTGAAGATATATATGTAATGTACTGTCCATCTAGCAAGCCAAGTAAGTTTCTTCCTCTCGATCGTTTTAGTCTCTCTTACGTGCTCAAGGCCTCAAACAACGAAGATGACTTTGGAAAGTGGATTTGGATATCAATAAAAGAAAGGAGGAGGGTTTAAAAATAATAAAGATGACTCCATGCAGAAGTAAATGGGAGACTGGAGTAACCAACAATGACTGCAAAAGAGTGTCGGTGACCACCGTAAACATGGATTAGCAGATTGCTAAACTGATAGTGCTTCTTTCATGGACGTACCAGTTTCCTGTATTAAATTTTCCTAGATTCCAAACTCTTGATACTGTTTAAGGTACGTTGCTAACCCAATTCAATTACCAGTCAAAATTGGAGCTATTTATAAAGGGATTATTATCATTTTTAATAGTTAGAACATCAATAGTTTGTAGGATTCCAAGCAAAGTTATAAAGTTTGAAATTAACTCTAAAAAATTTTATGAAACTTAAATTCAATCCAAATATATTAACCTGTAACCGGTCAAAATTTTAACCTCTAACCAGTCCTTTCTCCCCAACCTAAATCGCACTGTTAGGCTGTTAGCAACTTGGCATCACGAAAGATGGCAGTATCTTGCAGAAGGATGGCAGGCACAGTGCGACGAATTTTGTCTGCCTATATTTAGCAATCATTGGAAGCTCCCCGTAGACTATATTCCATCGATTCGGACAGGTAAACAGCTTGATTCAATTGAGGTGTGCGTATGTGCCATTACCATGGAGGTACGAAGGAGCTCGAGCCAGATTTCCAAGGCAAAGTCTCTTTTATCCCGTCTGCATCATGGGTTACCTACCTTGCAGAAAATAATAACAGATAATTACCCAAGCTGGACTTCGATGAATTACCAAAGATGACTAAGTTCCAACCTGCCATCTTTCTTGCACAATGGGGAACATAAGGCATTAGACACTACTAATGGATTATCCAACAAAAAGACTAGTGAAAGTTTTCATTTCTTGGATAACCTTGACAGCTCCGCTGCAGCTGCTGTACATAGAGTATATGCATATATATTGAAATGTCGCATTAGCTCTACTATTTCATCTGTTGAACTCGTAGCCAACAGATAGCATTCTTTACTATTTTACATCAGTCCCTACTAACAGGAAATGGAGTCATTCGGAAGTGAAACATTAAAAGAACCGAAACATCCAAAATGCCAAAAGCATTGCACTAGAGTAAAGAATACTAATCCCTGCTATTAAGCAAAGCATTCGCCAGTTCTAACCTAATCAACTTATAGGATAGGAATACTCGCTTTTGTTTTCTCATCTTTGTCAAATAAAGATGCCAAATTTGATCGAAATTATAGATACCTAGAGTACAAAGGACCCTATTAAGACTAGCAAAACCAAGCTTCAGCAGTCTAGGGAGGTAAACCAAGGAATATCACAGGTGTAAAAGGTCTAAAATCACACAATCAATGCAATCATCACCATTAACGACCAAGAAATAAACATAGCAAGCAGCGAGATGCAACACAAGTCATAACTATCTCAACATCAAACAGCTTCTGACATTTATTAGTTTCACCCATTACTCCATGAAAGGTTCTGAATTAGTCAAACACCACAGACAAGTTGAAAGTAGCAGATAGATTAACATAGACTAAGAAACTGGCAGAAACAAATTACGCACAGAAAGTAGCAGATAGAATCCCATAAGCTAAGACCCAAACATATGAGCTAAAGTGATTTGAACGAGAGGATGCAAATTCAACAGACAACGCGGCCAACAACCGGGTACTTAGCTTCGAATTTCTTGACCCAATCGTTAAGGACACCCATCTCCTTTTCGGAGAGGCCATCGAGATTGGGGCAGACATCTTCTTCTTTCTTGCTCATCTTTGCAAGGGCTCTGCTGGCGTCTTTGCCTGCAAACAAGGCGTAGTCGCCACCAGGACCGTAGAAAGATTTTCCGGCGGTGACATCGTAGATGCGGCCATTGATTGCAAGGTATATGGGCTTTGACGGGTCGCTACCGTTAAATTGGCTAAGTTGCTGGGGCGTCAAATCCATTGAAGGTTCGGTATGTGCAGCTCGCAAACGAAGAAAAAACAACAGGAAAGGAGAAGAGTGATTTACTGCCTTGATTTGGTCACGAAAATAGAGAAGAGTTACGACACGTGTATCCTTATCCTTTCTTGGTGCGCTGCGAAGTCAAAGAGATACTAAACATAAACAGTCCGTTCATATAAATAACCATCAATATTCAAGACTAAGCGCTATCCTGACGTCGAGTTGGTGGTATGCTTAGATATGTTTTTAGTAATGGTAGCTTATTTCAGCATTTTTTAATATAATAATTTTTTTTATAAGTGGATCAATAATTTATTTAATAATTTTATAAGATTTTTGTTACAAAAGATTTATAATATTATGATAATTGTAAAATATATTAATTCATATTATTGTAAATCATTACATAAATAATTTAATCTGATTCTAAGCTTAAAAAATTGAATGAGGAGGAATAAATCACCAAAAAAGAGAAAGGGTTTTAGAAGAGCATATTTATATAAGAGGATTTTCTTATAAGACTAAAACTTAGGAAGCTCTACTTTTTTAAGAAAGAGTTACAAATTTATATATAAAAAAAAAGTAAATAAATCTATGACTTGACTTGAAGCAATTTACTCAACTTAAAAGTATTTTGAATAAAATATATTTAATAAAAATAATTTTTTTTATTTATTAAAATAACTTTAATAAAATAAATTTGATTTGAAAATGACCTAAAGATTGATCATGATAATAATAAAAGTTGATATCAAAGTTGATATTAACAAAAGTAAAACTTGAATTGACGTGTCACTACTAAACTTGTCTTAAAGATTTTGGAGTAATTTATTAAGCATCTTTAAAATATCACATAAATTGTACATAATTTTAGATTGTAACAAGGAATTTCTGTTTGGAGTCTCATCACTTGAGTAAATGCTATATATGTTCTAAAGAGAGATTCAAATGCAAACTGTCTAGAGTAAAATTATAATCCATATTTTCTAATCATTTATCTGGATTAAAATTTTCATATGTAACTATTGGTTTGGATCAAAATCTTCATACAAATCTTGTAAATCTTGACATTTCATTTATTTAACAATCTCATGGATAATCTAACATGTTCAAATCTTATTCTTCCATTAAGAGATTCTTTTCATGCATCATCAAATTTACTATTAAATATGATTTCATGAATTTTTTTTATTAATTTTAAGTTGATAATTATATTCTGAAAGATGATTTTCTTCGAGAATATTATCTTAGAGTTATGACAAAATTTAAGAAGAAATCTTTTTGTTCATTTCACATATCGATCTTTGAAATTGTTCATTTCATATTTTTATCTCTGAAATTCTGTATTAATAAAAAAACAAATAAAAAATCTGATAATGAATAACTTTATAAAAATTTATTGTGATTTATCTGTTACCGTATATAAAAAATATTGTGATTTATTTGTTACATAACTGAATGGTCCATGAAAGATTAAAATAATATCAGGATCAAGAAAAGCTTCGTTGTATCTTTCATAGATTTCTATTTACTTAATCCAAATAGGAATGGATCTCAACCATTGAAAGTAATACTTATGATTCGGATAAGTAATTGAACATCAAATATTAATTGGCAAATGGAAACTGCCATTTTATTATCCTCAACAAAAAATAAAATGAAAAGGCCAAATTATCATCTTAGAGAATTTTTTTTAGTCTACATCTCTGATAATCCCCAAATCTAGCTTTGGTAAAAGAAGATTTATTATATCTCAATATAAGAGAAATTGTTAACTTGAACATAATTTCAGTTTTTGGATGGTAATATGAAATACAACAAACCTACGTCTCTTAATCATGCCATGCCATGGTTCATAAAATTTAAGATAAAAATCTATGGTGGTGGCGTTCTCCATCTCCAGAAGAAATCAATAAAAACTTCCAAGTTCCACCAGCCTTCATAAGTCCACTCACCACCTCCAGAAATTGTTCAGAAAATCAAAGATGATCAAACTCGTTATTGCAGAGAAATACCCCCACCCGAATACTCAACCTCCTGAAAATTTAATCAATTTAAAGCTAGAGTTAGCAAAAGGCTCCATGTAACACAACATTGATAAAAGCAGTATTAGGTAATCTCACCATTTGATGACAATGGTATCCACATATACTAAAAACATGAACATTTTTGTTAAAGTCAATTCACATGGATTTATATAGACATTAATGAGCACCTTCTCTCCCCACTAAACTGAAATTTATAACCAAGTATTCCCAGGAAATATTAAAATGACAATTGTTTAAGATGGTTAGAATGGTTCACAATGGAATTTCATAAATCCACAGCCACCCACTAGTGTCACGGGCCGAGACTCAACCTCCAGGCTCGGACAGCTCCAAGACTCGAGCATACACTCATCCGACGTCTCAGATTAACTTAATTATCACGGTTCATACCTTTCTGAGGTATTATCCGTTCTGGCTCCTCTGACCTCACGGTTTTGTCTTACAACAGACGCCTCACAAAAAGGAGGTGGTGTGAACCTTGTATCCCAAGACCAACTCTAGTACTCAACCGATGTAAGATTCCTGACTTCACTTCAGAGCCGTAACATCCTTTCCCACTCCAACGAGAGCCCACCGTCCTAGATGGCATATCGCTAGTACCCCCAAAGCTAGCTCTGATACCACTTATCATGGGCCGAGACTTAGAGTCCAGGCTCATGGGGCTCCAAGACCCGGGTATATACTCATCCAACATCCTAGATCAGCCTAACTGTCACGGTTCACACCCTTGTGAGATATTGTCTGCTCTGGCCTCTCTGACCTTACGGTTTTGTCCTACAAAAAGCCCCTCACAAGAAGGAAACAGTGTGAACCCTCATATCCCAAGATCAACTCTAGTACTCAATCGATGTGAAATTCCTAGCTTCACTTCAGGACTGTGACACTAGCACTTAGCATTGTCTTATCAGCTAAGTGCAACAGCATTAGATGTTACTCGTGATGTTGCAACATATTTCATTAATCCTGCCCCTTTCCCACCCCCTTGTTTTTCACTTAATTGCTGGATTGTGCTAAATTTCTGGATTGTGCTGAATTTCTTAGGAACAAGAACTGAACATAAAATTTACACGAAGGAAAAAGGAAGAACTTATCAACCTGAGCTGGGGATAAGGATGACACCCAATCTGACGCATGTGTTGGAAGAAGCCCCAATGTGTTAAGCTGCCAAAACCAAAGAAATCAAGTAGGAAAATGTAAACTATTATATAACTCAGGTTTTGTCCCCTTTCCTTCTGTCTAGTAATCTTCAAAAAATCCATTAGGAAGCGAAAAAGGAAACTGCAACTCACCTTCCAAACACCAAGTGCCAAACCACCCAAATTAAGAGCAATGAAAAGTAACTTAGGGCCTAGAAGATCTACTTTATTGTCTTTATAAGGCTCAAAAACTGCAAAGTCAAATTGAAATTTGGATGAATCAACTTAGAAATGGAAAATGCACAGCCCTAACATCTGAATAAAAGAAAATCTAGGCTTTGGTGGCATTTTGCACAACCATAATATCTGCAGGTTTCTTTCTTATATATCTTATACACTTTACAAGAGAGAAATAAGCTATTTATTGAGCCTAGACAGAAACGGAGAGAGATGCCAAACATATATGCAGACAAAAACATTGAAGCTTCTAGAGAAGCAAATTAGATAGGTTTCTTCTGAATACTCATGTGGCTTTCATTAGTACCTTATGGTTACAAGGGTTAAGTATTTCATTCTCAGTAAGGGTACATTACCGAACATATTCTTTACTCTTTTGACAATTTAACCACTCAAACTAAATAAAACAAGTCATTGAGAATTAAAAAAATATATGGAAAGGACAATGATAAGCTAATAATACAGGACCAGAAAATTTAGTAGTTAGACGTCAACTTACCTTTCCCAACCCCTTGAAGAGCACTAATAGGCTGCCAAAGCGCCGAAAAAGTGATACCAATGCTAAAGAGATGCACTGTACTTCCAGCCATCCACATCATGAAGCCCATCATTAACAAATTCTTGAAAGGTGTTTGTGCCACTTCCCAAGCTTTCTGTTCCACAAGTAAAAGAAGTATAATCTTAAATAACATATTTTGATCGGTTAAATCTTGTAGTAATGTATGTCTTTTTTACCTAACAAACACAATCGCCAAAACTGAACTCTTACCCAAGGGAATATCTAAACCTGCTAAAAATTGCATGGATATACTTAAATCTTTCCAACAGATACTATGTCAATATAATGCATAAATCAATCACTATACCTATACCAAATACCCACCCTCAACCATGCACCAAGAGAAGACACCTTTGCTTTCCCTTTTACCTTCTCTATAAAAATCTATTCCATGTACTCTACAGCACCAACCGAACTCAGAAGTGATTTAAGGTCACACTGACTTGCACATATAGTAAAGAAACAACATTGAAGATCCATGCATCACGAAATAGCTTGTAGCTTGCTGCTTTGCCACAGACGTCAGTATTTATTTCTGAATAAAGTTTGCACTGGTTATAATTATAAATGATGTAAACAGTAACACACAAACAATTCTCATACACACTTTTCAGTGAAAGATGGCCAATCCTAAGTCCTACCAAAGCCTCCATGTATAACTAAAAGAAAAAACAAAGATGCCAGAACTCATTTCAGAATGCTCTTTGTTGCACATGATTTGATGAATTTATATGCCTATACGTCCATTATCCTTATTCGGGATTTGCAATGATAATATCTGAGTTAAATCCATTAGAAAATAACCCATAATCTTTCATCGCAAACACAAACACTTATATCCTTCAAAGTTGAAAAGTTCAAGTCTTTAAGATCCAAAAGGAAATCAATTTAAATCCTTAATTAAGGATCTCCTCACTTTTCTCTGATACTTAGTAGACAATCGGGAAAATTAATCACAATTCAAAATTTAAAGAGAAAAAGAAGAACCTGAGCTTTCCAATTGGCTTCAGCATCCTTCTTTTGGCGAGTCAAGTTCGAATCGTCCTGCCAAAATACAAAGGTGAAGCCTCCAAAGTTAAACCTAACAAATATCGAAAGCGACTGCTTTTACTTGAGAAAAAGAAAAAGGGGGAACCTGATCGACAGAGGCACGAGTGAAGCCAGGAGGATCGGGGATGTCACGAGAAGAAGGCGCGGTCGAATTATCGGAGAAATCAACGGCCCATCTTCGGCCGGACCCCATCACTCCTTTGCCCTTCTCCATCTTCCTTTTCTTTCTATATTTTTTTGATTATTTGACGGATACTTACAGTAGATCTTTTCTTATTAAAATCGTACCATTCGGGTTCCCGAATCGAATGCCGAATTTTGAAGGCAGAGCGAGAGCCGCCAGAGAGCTCTGGGTTTCGTACTTGGCTTGGGCTACCTTTGAGTATACTAGTACTGGAGATCCAATCCAAGCCTTGAACCTGTTTTTTGTTTTTATTTTCACTCTTTTACACTTTTACTTTACCCCATTCTCTTTGTCCTTTTTCCTCGCTTTCTTTATTTATTAATTAATTTCTATTGCCATGATAAATTACTTTTATTAAAGATACCGATCTTATCCTGATCTAACGAAAATTTTAATTTTTTATTCAAATGAAAAGAAAGATAAATATTATATTATGAAAGTAGAGATGAAAATAGATATAATTTTAAATATTTATTAGGTATAAAATAAAGGGGGGTAATATAACCTACCTTGTACTTGTATTTTATATATAGTAAATAAATTTTTTATTAAAAATATAAATTATTATTTTAAATTAATTAAAATTAATATATTTTTATTAAAAAATATATTAATATATATTTATAAAAAAATTACCTAAATATAAAAAATAAAAAAAAAAAATTTTTAGGTTTTATTTTTAAAAAATTAAAGGTATGAAAATTATTCATACCCATTAAATATCAATAGGGATGAAAATATAGATAAATTTAAAATATTTGGATAAAAAATATAATATAAAAATCCTAAAATAAAGATTACCCATTGACATTCCTAACTTTTATTAATTTTACAACTATATCTATATATATTGCTATATACCATAGTTATTGACAATAAATTAAATATATTATTTCTTTATTTTTTTAACTATGTTAAATATGAAATAATTACTTGGTACATTTAAGAAATCATTTAAATTAAAAGATAAAATGAAAATTATGATTGTTAATTTTCTGGTAACAATATATATATATATATATATATCAACTAATTGTTGTATAAGAGGGAAATGATCCAATTTAAGCAACAACGTAGGGAGTTTATGTTTAATTAAAATATTTGACTAAGCTAGTCGTTATTGTTCATGTTTTTCCTGTAATTGTCAAATAAACAACAAGCCCCTGAAGTCCTGCTATTACATTGTTTACATATAAAAAAAGCGTTGAATCTCCTCTGAAACTCGCGATTCGCGAATAACTACTTCAACTCCGATTTAGCAGAAAGCTTGTCCGACATGTTAGCTATAACAAAACCTGCAAAGACCTGTATCCAACAAAAGTGGTAAAACGAGTTAAACAACTCCTTCCATTCACTGCTGATTGCTTTCAAGCCACAAAAAGGCTCAATAGAGAATATGATTCCATGTTTTCATCAGCACCAACCAAAAGGAACCACCTGTTGTTTTTCCTTTTCAAGTAAAATGGAAGAGAATAATTTTTTTTTGAACAAACATGAAACGTAAGCTACCTGAATGCACCCAACGATGTAGACTGCAGAGCAGTGTCGACCATGTATTACCATATCAGCTAACATCGCAAGGGGTATTGTCAATGACGTGCCTAATGCTGCAACTAATGGAGTTGTCCAAACCACCGATAGGGCCCTGCATCATATTTGGCGTTATTAAAGTTCAATAGCGATCCAAGCTTAAGCCCAGTCCAGAATATTGACACTGTTCTTGGTTATGGATTACGGCGATGAAAAAGGTTAGATGGTTTCAAGTCCTAGTGGCATTCAACTAGTTCAAAAGTGAAAGGAGGCTGCTCTACATACCAGAAGTAGTCTGACAGAACGCTTCCCACAAAGCCATTAAGCAGCACTACCTCCCCAACAGATGCTGAATGTGGAAATGTAAATGGAGGTTCTATCCCCACAGCATTAAGTGGCCACACTGCACAAAGATGACACTGTGTAAGTTCAAAGGATAAATGGCAGGCAGGAACAGGAACATCGAATATGAGCATTTGACAGAAATAAGATTCCAGCACTGCAATCAAACACAATCCCTTACATCTTGATAGAAACGAGAGAACAAAAATGCACCAAGTTACTTGAAATATCGGGAGATTAATAGATTAAGTACCAAGCCACCAAAGCCCGAGAAGAGTGAAGAGCCCAATGTATCCAAAGATCTTTTGCACATCAACCTTATCTCCTTCTGATCCAGCAGATTTCTTGAGCAGAACTGCATAAATTGACCAGTGCATGGAAATAGAGTAGAGAACAGAAACAGTCGGACCAAATTAAATTTATTATATCCAATCCTACCTGTGAATAAGCCATATGAAATTGCCGAGAGAAGACCAAAAATATCCCCTGTGATTGAGTGCCCTCTAATTCTAGCAAACATGAACGGCACATGGCTCCATAAAAAGATAATCATGATATGAAAACCCAAAAACGAGTTCCCAGCATTGTTACCAATTGCAGGAATTATCGCCTATAAGTAATTCTTGAAAGAGAAGTCTGAAAGGATTATGTTAATAGCGTGTAAAGCATATCACTATTCAAACAGCCTGAACAGCATACAGTATGAATTTATGCACCTTCTGTGGTATATTTGACATATTGTAGAGGAATAATAAAATATTAATAAATTCTTGAAATAATGGCTAAGAGAGACCCAACGTACTCAGAGACACTAAGCTTTTCATCTGATGCCCATGTCTTTCCAACTGTGGTCATAGCAACACCAGCCATGCTAATAAATACAGCGACAACTTTTGCAACATTTATGGTGTCCTGGCGGAGAAGAGCTCCAAAGAAAAGTGTAAAGAGACCTGAAGTAGAGGTAAGGACAGTTGTACTTGCAACACTAGTATTTGCCAGAGCAGAAGTAGATAAATACTGCAAGAAATCAAAGCAATTTTATTAGTCATTCATCTGGACAAATGCACCCATGCTTGCAATCTTGTTGAAGCTAAAAAATGAAGAGTTCTTATTCATCAATTCAACTAAACTAATTATAGAGATTTAATGGAATTTGACTGAACTTTCCAAAATTTACCCTAAAGCAATTACAATAGGAATCCATTTACGATTAATCAGATTTATGTCCAGTAACTTGAACAAGCAACAGATGTCCAAGAAGATATCCCATGGCCACTTGCTTGGGTATAGCCTATATCCGCCCCCTCACAAACGTTTAATGACCACCAATGATTCTAACAGAAAAAAAGGTATTGATAAAGTTATGTTACCTCAGTTATAAACCATATCGGAGTGAGATATAAACTACATTTGGCAATTTCCCATGAACTCAGTCCACCACCATGTCGAGGCAAGTGAGGTTCATCCTTCTCATTACTTGTGTTGAGAGGCTGTCCCTCTTCTCTTTCACTAACATCCTTGTCAGTTATGAGTCGGCTTCTGAGGTCAGCTTCTGCACAGTGGGGCATTTCATTGATTCTAAGAGGAATATCGAGTCCAATTGAAGTATTAATTACCGAGTTACTATCGTAGAGGTTTCTAAAAACATTTGCATCGAATAAGTTGCAGATCCAATCCTTGAACACTGCTATGGGTAAATAAACCACCATAAGAGACACACCAATATAAGTGAGTGCAAATGGCTGTTTGTACTCAGCGAAAATCCTCTGCAACAACAACATATAATCAAATGGTCATGTCAGGGAAAGCTATGACAGAAATAAAAGTTGAAGAGACTCTTTGACTTCACCTATAAAGAGACAAATCAAATGAAATATCTAATCTTAAATAAATACTACCCAAAATATATCCATCAAAATACTTAAAGGACCTAACATGAATCCTAGTTTCAGAACTTTTAATAAAATGTTCTTAGAAAACATGGGCTACTAGGGATCAATGATCCATTTACCTCAGAAAACAGTCGTCACATAGAAAACTTGCACGTATAAAACACAGCAATCACTTAGTTCATGTACCCGTTCGAACACACAATTCACTTAATTTTTCTTTTCTTTTCTAACCATTTCGTTAACAAACAATTCCCAGAAAGCCAAAGGAAAGAAATTGAAGGAAACAGAGTATAATAACTAGACAAACCTGTGTTATCTCTGCAGATACAACCCATAAAAACACAACTGTGCCGATCAACCCCAACCCAGCACTGTACTTCCAACCCATCACCTAAAACACGAACTAAAACGCTAGACACAGAAAATTTGACTCAAAGGAAAAGAACTGAATTGACCTTGATTTTGCTACTATAAAACTTTCACTTCCATACTTCTTAAGCTGAATGGGGACCTTCTCTGATCTCTCTGTGTATTAAGTTGAATCAAGGGATAGTTTTCAAGCTGATTAACCAACAAACGGTGCAACCAATATATGCTTGAATGACAAAGGTATCAAGTCTTGATTTGAGATCGTCTTTTATTTTTTTGTGGGTGTTTTTCTTTTGTCTTGCCGTTAGACTCCGCAGCAGGACAAGACTGTGATAATGACAAGTGGTTAAATGTCAACAAAGGATCGATAAAATCAGGGATGAAGCCGATGAAGTGGCGTTTTAACTCGGACGCTTAGGGATGGATGCGGTAGCAGGATTTGTAGGCCCCACTCATCTCCAGCCAGGTCAATAGTCAATGTCTCTGCACGTGAGTCCTTTCACGTGTCAAGTAACTTGAACGTTTAAGGCAGAAAAAGTAGAAACTTCGAAAAACAATTCACCAACAAAAAACTCCTGACAACGAAATCGAGGCTAAATTTTACAATCAAATTATTCCATCCTTTTCAATTCAAACAAGTGAAGTACTCGACCATTCTCAATTCAATCAATCTTTGTTGGCCTTCAAAAAGAACAAGAAGATGTCTATTGGACTCGTCATGCTTTCTCAGTTTGTCGTTGCTTGAAACATTATGGTTATATCAAACAATAGATATTTTCTCAGCAAACTGTCTTATCCCAAAGTAATGGAACGAGAAAGAAGAGAAAAATTGGGGTAATCGATTATGCTTAATCATATATTCCAACGGGGGAAGCTTGTAAGAAAAATGATTTCTTTTTGCTACGGGAATTAAGTTGTTCAGGAATATTGGGGTTACAAAATTTCTCCGTCCAACCAGCTCATGAAGATCATGGACAATCTTGAATACGGCGTCAGGCCTTGCCAACTTTAAAGCATTTTGTGACATGGCCATGAGTTCATCTGCTTTTGGACCAAACCATTGGGCAACAATATTGGCTATCTCGTTTGGTGACTTCGAAAATTTCCCACATCCATTTTCCACCACATAAGGAACATTGCCAACTTCCTGTAAATCAAAACAAGATTTTAATTTCTTTGGCAAAAGTTAAAACTCCATTACAAGATTTTTTTTGCAACACTCACAATGACCTTCTAATAGTATATTATTTAACCCAACATTATGAGGTAGGGAGTGTAAAAACTGGGAATAATTTGATTGTGATCCCCATCATTTCTCCTTGCACTCGTACCATATTGATGGCTAAAGCAAACTCCTCACAAAGGTAGGAAAGTAAAACTACATGGTTTTCCTACAACATCCGGGAAGTTAGAAAGATATAACCAGGCAAGCTGTACCAGTAAACCATAGTTTCAACTAGAGTGAGATGCAGAATTTGTTGGCAAAGGTAATTTGCCAATCCCCATAGGATAGTTTTGTAGGAGGAGGCAAAAAGTTGCACGTATGCTACTGGTTCTTCCAGTCGCAAATACAACCTTCTGTATTATGATGATCTATACCATCTAACACAAATTAATAAGGCATGGCATCATATTAAAGCTTATTTCCTTCTATAAAAATATGATATTCAAGAATATGTAGGGCAAAAATACCTACAAACCATATTCTTTGTACCTTTATTTGTTTATGCTTTCTTTTTCCATTTTTACTTACAGCTGATAAGTAAAATCATAGGGTGCATGAGAAACAGGAAATTTAGAAGTTATAATACCTTTTAGATTTCAAGATGTTTTGGCCTTGTTTAGCTATTTAATGTAGTAAACTTATTAATTTATTATGTATGGTAAATTAGGGGAAACTCATCATAAGCGAGACTGAGAACAGAAGTCCAATATTTAGATAAATGAAATATCATCAAGATAATAATTGTAAATTAAAGCTAGGGCCTAGGAAGAATACCTGCTGTTCCCTCTCAAAAGACATCTACTTCAGAAAGATTACATATCAAAGTGAAAGAAAAAAAAGAAAAAAGAAAACTTACCTGCCCAGCAATGTAATCATTCAAAATTATAGGAAGACCTCGTATCATAGCCTCAGCAATAGTCCCTGGGCCCGCCTATTGAAGCAAAAGTCATTCAAAATTAAGAAATGTATTACATGCATCCACATATTACGGCCACCATTAGCAAGTTACCTTCGTAATAATGCAGTCGCAAGCACCCATGCATTCCTCCATTTTGGTGACAAATCCCTTGACCTATAAGATTGTGCAGTTTCAGGAAAATATATATGGCCTACATATACCATTTCTTTTAATCACAAAAATTGGAATATGGTTTGGCATGCTTAATGCAGATAGACATATGCTACATAAATTTGTCAATTTAGAACAAGTTTATCACATTTAAACTAATTGACGGAGAATATTAGAAAAGTCATCTCATGGTTCTTGAAAAAGGCATCCGGATATAACTAGAAGACTTAGCTGTCCAAAGTACACTTACAAATTAAAACATAGAAGAAAGTTCAATACCTGGACAGGAATTTTCCAATTAATTGAAAGCAATTTGTTAGCAAGCTTTTTGTTGCGGCCACAAATGACAAGGATTTGCCCTATTGGCTCCCCAAGGTTGTCATCATATAATGCATTTCCAAGTGCACGAGCAGTAGCCTCAATGGGCCCCATTCCTTCCCCTCCTCCCATGAGCAACACAGCAGGAAGATCCTCATCCATTCCTAATTCTCTCCTCAGCTCAATCTACAAGTATCAAAAATTAAATTGTCAGTATCATTTGGTCCAATGAGACAATAAAAGATGAATAGACATAGAGATCTCAGTAGAGATAATAAACTCGAAGATAATTGCAGTAGCACATAAAACGAAAAGTGGTCTAATGGAAACAGCAAAGAGAAAAAGAAAAATTGCAGAAACTGAATACAATAAACTAGTTGCATCAAGACTTCTGTCCATGAGTGCAAAAGTTTGGGACAATAGTTTTCATAAGAATAAAATTGACATAGAAAATGTTAAAGTTCATTACTTGGAAAGTTAACCAACCTTTGGCCGAACAGGCTTCACAAAAGAAGGTCGCACTGGGAGGCCATAAACCTTAATTTGGGATGGTTGAAGTCCAGCTTTCAATGCCCTTTTTGCTACTTCTGCTGTTGGGCAATAGCATCTTGTTACAAGCTTATGAAACCTAAAAAAGGATATACATGACTGCAATTACACAAAGAATAAGTAAATTTTGAAGTATGAAACTAAGATGAAGAACTAACCATGTAGGATGGCAAGTGCTTAAATCTGTGACCACTGTGGTAAACACTATTTTCTTGAGTAGACCCTTTGCCCTCAGAATGCGAAGTGGAACATGTTGCATCAGTGGATGTACACTGATAATAATGTCTGGCTGGTATTTCATCAATCCTTTTGCAACCTCTCTATAACAAGAATGTAAAATAACAGAATCAGATAACTCTATACCATAACACAGATAAGTGTTACAGGAATGGCAAAACAAATCATATAATACTATTCGATATGAGACTGACAACTTTATTCTGTTTCATTAGCATATCTTCTCACGCTAGATCAAGAGGGTTGAGACAGTCATCAATAGAAACTTGCTGAATGGTGATTAGGTGCAAAGCACAACATGATATATAGGAAAACAATCTAAAAAATCTATACCAAGAAGACCACAAATTCTCACCTAGCTATGAATGTTGAAGTTGCAGCAAAATTAGATTGATGAACCAGCCGAGGAGCAGTTCCATAATAGGTCATTCTCCACAATGATCCATGCTTAACCAAGAAATTATAGCTCTTGGGTAATTGATTAAATGGCCAGGGCGTATGATCCGACCACAAATCTGTAACAAACACCTGCAATATGCCACTCTTAAGATGCAGAACAAAGGTAAACCAAAAATATACACACCCACTAGTTCTTAGGCCCTAATTCTTCAACCACTTGCCAAGAAATTGCAGAAACATAAAGACAAATAAAACTGAAATATGTCTCATTGAAAGTAGTCTCAGTTAATCAAAATAATACTAACACTGCAAAGTACAGATTAAATAATTAAACTTTCTTAATTTCTACCTTTACTCAATGTCCACATTTCCTTTGCCACGAAACAAAAGGAAACTGACCTGATAATCGTCCCCAAATTCTTCATTAAAAGCAGCCTTAATAGCTTCAGCGGAGGCTCTGTGACCCCCACCTGTATCACTCATCAAAATCAAAACTTTTTTGGGGGTCTCAGTTTCGACTCTATTCAAAGGCAAACCTTCAACCTCCAAAACACCACCATCATCTTCTCCAACTCCATTGCTATCCTCAGAACCAACCCGAACCGAAGCAAAACCCAATTGGGATTCTATCACAGTGAAATTTAATCGCTCTATTAAACTCATTTATGATTCTCCTAAAGGTCGAAGAAACGCTATTTCGAGCACCCAAACTGAGTGAAGCAGCAGCTGCAACTCTACGCCTTGTATGAGAAATTGAGCCTTTGAACCCTGAAAAATACATGAAATTTGGCTGCAATGAATAAAACCCATCTGAACTTAAGCTGTAAAAACTCTTGTTGAAAGCTATGTGACCCAATGGAGTCGCGAGATTGAAGGCAGGCCCCAGTTCTTGGGTAACCGCAGAATGGTTTTGCATTTTGGAAAAAAAAATTTTTTCTAGTAGCAGAGTTGATGACAAACAAGTCAAAACAATTTAATCCATGGTAGTCTTTGTCACAAATAAAAACCAAATTTCATTTACTTGAATGAAAAAGATATAAATAGAAAACAGATGTCTGAGCAATGAGGGGAAAAATAAGGTGAAAGTAATGAAATCTAATGGTGTTTTGTGTAGCCACAGATGTAGGATTTAGTCGCTTTGTGGCTGCTCCTTTGCTTTGATCCAGACCCAAGCAAATCGTTTCTTGGATTGGGTTTGGGTAGCAAGTTAGGAATCGTTGATGAAAGTAATTTTTGTATTAAAAATTATTTTTGATCCAATTTAATGTTAAACGATAGAAAATATAATTTTTTATTGTAAAAACCTAATTTTGCAATTTAAACAAAAAAATTCAAGATTTTGTGGTGAAAAATATTTTTGATAAAAAATTATTATATTATCTTGTATTTTTAATATTTTATTATTTTATGTATACCTTTTTAAATATTTTCATTATTTACAAAATATATGGAGTAAATATTTTATTATTTTATTTTTAAATTATAAATTTCAAATCATATTTGCATTTTTAATTAATTTTTACAAGTGATTCACTTTTAACAATCAAAATATACTTTTAACTCAAATTAGTGTGTTTTACATTATTTGACATTCAAAAGCTGTTTTTAAAAACCCAAATGCAATATTAAACGAGACCTTAACACATTCAATCAGCATTTTTATTTTCCAACCATTAGATTTATTTTTAGGGGTAAAATCAAGAACTTAAAAAAATAATATAAAATAATTAAAAATATAATCGATTGAATTTAAGTAATATAATATTAAATTTAAATTTGATTAAAATTTAAAATTTAATTCGAATTCGATTAAATTTTATTTTTTTAATTTAAGTTTAATTCAAAATAAAAATAAAATTATTTAAATTTACTTAATTAAATTTGATTATCATATAAAATTAAACTTAATTTTTATATTTGATAAATAATTCACACAAGCTAAATAGATGTAATAAATAAATAAAATTAGACCTCATTTTATTAGCAGTCAAGTTTGCCAAGTGCCAATAAACCTAGCTAGTGCCTAACTCCGTCCACTAGGCGTTCTGTCACCATAGCCATGCCAAACATCTAAAAACAGAAATAGCAATTAAGCATGTGAATTTCGTGCCCGCTTTTACTTTAGTTATTAACCTTAATATTTTGATGCGCATGTGACATTCATTTTTAATGTTGGAAAATGGGAACCCTACCGACCTCACCTCGCCGTCCACAACGTTTTCAAATCGGTTTGTGGAACCACCACGAAACCAAAAGTTAGAGTTGGACAAGGTTTTGGTTAGAAAACAAATACGGGCTTTTGGTAGCCCAAAAATGTGAAAAAATACTTTGGGTTTCAATAGAGAAGTTTTGAAAGCCATTTTTTGTTTGGGCTTGAAGTTTAAGACGGAAGCAATTATGGACCCAAAACAAAAGATTGCATTGGCTGTAAATGTATTTATGGGTTATGTAGAACCGGGTTTATATTTGGTATTGAAAATTTATATGATTGTTTAGATTTAAATCGGCTCAAATTTTTGTGTTTTAAAAGTTTTTAAAGTCTGATTTAAATTAAAAATTAAATTTCAGGCTCATTTATTAATTTAATTTATATAATAAAAATTTTAAAAATATAATTAAAATAAAATTAATGAGATTATATTAAATTTATATATATATAAAAATTTAAATTTAAATTTAATAAAATATATAATTTATATATATATGTGAATTAATTTATATATAATTTACGCATATATAAAAATAATACATATATATGTGAATTCAGGTTAAAGTCAAGTTTAAAATCTTTTGTCTAAGACTTAATTTGAAATTTAAGTAAAGCTAAAATTGTATGTAAGTCTGTTCAAAGAATTTTAATTTTTTGTTTAAACCCTTTCAAAACTTTGACTAAAACTTTAGGTTTGAGTGAAGCGAGTAATTCCAATCTTGAACATGTTTAATTGGCTGCATGGTTTATGACTTTCATTTATGTGCAACAAAAATCCAAGGATAGGATATGGAATATTGGAATTGGGTCCATCAATAATGTTTAAACTCCTGTTCTTGGTGGGCTTTTTCCTATTATACATTCTCTCTCTCTCTCTCTGTCCTTTTTATTTTTATAATAGAATACATTGTTATTTACACACTATGACTATAACAAACGTCAGCCAATTACAATATGACATATGAGTTGGGTTGAAATTAAAAAAAAAATCAGTTATAGCATGGGCGCTTCCATTTTTGTTTTTGATGTTTTGGCTATTTTCTATTTCTTGCTCAATGATGGATAGATCAACTTTTTATAGGTCAAACTTTTATACAAAAATTCAAAACAAGGTATTATGATTCCTAACCGAAAAAGTCGATAGTAAGAAAATGGAGTATCATTTATATTACTATTTTGTAGGATCCATATGTGTAAATAAATGGCTTTTCGCCTTTGATTAATTAATGTATTAGATAATATTGATAAGAAAATAATGGGGAGTAGTTGAATTCTCATCATTTGAATCTTGAAAATAAATTTGTTATCTTGACAATTATTATATGTATAATATGTATTAATTACAATCATGTATTAAAATTTTAATATATATATATATGTTAACCTGAAGTAATCATTTTATAAAATCTATTCTCCCATCCTCACTAGTCAATATCTGTTTGGTCTTACAACTCAAATAGGATTAATTTACTTCAGCATGAAGACTTTCTTTTGTTTATTGGGTTGGCAGAAGAGCTGATGATAATAGTGTAGAAATGAGAGCGCCTTTAAACTCCAGAAGCTATACCCAAAGGAAAAGAAAAGAGGAAGGACGTCCTACGCATACCAATGCCGTCGATAATTGTGGCTGGAATCCATACATTGAAACATTGAATTTCAAGCAAATAATAAATAAAGGACTGGATTTGGGCTCTAGACATATAACATGTCTTATGGAAAGATGGCAGCCATATCGCAGGGAATTGGGTAGAAATTGATATTGGTAAGTGAATCTTTGAGTGCTCCATTTCTTTCTTATATTGGAAATAATTAATAGGGGCATATATATATATATATATATATATCTTTTTCCAGGCATTTGGAATTTCTTCTTTGACAAAGAGCAAAGTGCAGAAGTGGAGGGAAATGCTCTCATCACTCCCCCATATGCTCAAATCCACTATCTTTAACAAATTTCAAAGGCTTATCATAACGAGAGAAGAAATGAGAATTGTCCTATCCAAGTGGCAATTTCAAAGAATATTTTGCATGACCCCAACCCTTTGATGTTGAGTTAACAATCATGGATGTTTCTCGTAAATGTGGCAGATTTTGATTTACTGCTTGACTTTTTTGTGTGCCTTAATGGGAAAAACGCCTTATCATAGATGCTCTTGTCTAGGCAAGTAATTCAAAGCGGTTTCCTGATGGATTTTAGGCTATGTAACTAGAGTACTTGTTGAAGGATGATTGGCTAAACTAATTATATTAAGTGATGAAATTCTTGCTGTTGAGTCAGCAAATAGGTTCCATCCTTATAAGTTGATCACTTATGGGCAGACATGATATATATTTCCTTGAAAACTTGATTGATGAATGGGCCAATGTACTAATTCAGTCTTCACCACACTATGCTCTTGCATTAATGATGTTAAAGAGGCAAAAATTTTAGATAAAAAGTAAAATCATAAAGCAAAAGCTGAGGATAATTTTAATTAATTACTTGTTATAAACAAACCTCCATAGTTTTGCAATATACAATTTTCAACTGTCAATATATGCTTTACTTGTAAAAACTGATCTCCATTATTGCGAAAGAAAAGCATCTTGATCTTCATCACCTAATGCCCCATTATCGTCATGCATGTGAAACCAAATAGCTTCCTTGTTACTTGTAAAACTAAATTAAAGCAAAGGAAAACAGTAAAAAAGGACATACATACACCTGTGCTGATTAGAGCAACAATGAATCCATGTTGCTCAAGTGCCCATACAACACGCACAATTGCATAAGTTTCGTCAACGCGGTTGCGTTCCTGGGGGCCTACGTTCCATTTGCAGGTTATAAAGTTTTCCGAAGGGATGACTTGACCTACTAAGGAATAATTAAGCTTAATCATTAATTTCTTACTGTATATGGAGTCGCCATCAAGATTGGCCATGATTTACCCTTCAATGTGAAATATGAGACCCGCTTGCAGCGTTCTTGACAGGTATTCAATGTTTTTATTGACAATTGAAGGAGCATAAACAGGATCTAATATCTAATAATTTGGGTTCATTCATTTTACTTTATTTTTAGACATTTGGGCAATTGTGAATTAGGTGAATATATATGAAGCATATATAATAAGCAAAAGCAATCTGATCACGCCAAAGTTAACAAAGACCCACACGTTTTAATTTTGTGGTGATAGCTTGCAGCTGCTAGGATATGGTGTAAATAACCATGTCAAGTGTGTTTTCACTGTGGAAAAATGCTGTTTCAAAACATTTAAAAAGTATACATATAATATATATACATATATGTGTATTTCTCCTAATTGCATATATTGATATTTTTAAAAATATTCATTCATTTTTTTCTTGAGGAAATTTTTTTTTTTTTTTTTAATGGCGGGACCTGGGAAGGCAGGGTCCTTTGGATTCATCCTTCTTTGCCAATCCGAGAAAACTACCAAAGCATTCCATCATCATGGTCCTCCACTTAAATCAGAGATTTTAAGTGCAGGAATTGAACCGGGCCGATTCATATTCTTAACATTACCATATATATCTTACACTATAACTGCATAGCTGCAAAACTTCTAACAAATGGCAATGGCAATGTGGATTTTCGCCAACGAGGACCCTTCATATAAACCAAATTAATTAACCATGCAAATACTTGATTTTGAGAAAATGTGGCAGTCATATATAGTGGAGAATACGAAGTTCTTACCAACGAATAAATAATTCATAATTTTTAATTAGGTTATCTGATCTTCTTATATAAAGCTTTACTTTTACCTTTTACTTTTCTATGAGTTCAACTCTTTTACACAGGATATCCCTTCGTGTGAAACGTTAGAATCAATGTACACATGAAAATAGTACAATAAATTTGATGAACTTTATCTATTTTAATAGTATTCATAGTATTTGTATACGCAATGCCATTTCCAATTCAAGTCAAACTAATGTAGGAAATAGGGATCCAATCATTGTCAGGCGAAAATATGGAAAACACGAAACCAAACAAATTTTCTTTAGACCATAACCTTATTCTGGTCGTATGAAGTTCAATGCCAATAATGCAAAGCAATTGGAAACCGCGTGAACAAGTTCTAAAACTTATGGAAACAAAATACTCCATACTTAAATTAATAAAAGACTTATTCAGCGTTACTTCTCGAGTTACAACATAGCATCAATAGCTAATAAAAGAGAGAGTTGATTCAGCGCGATTCTCAACAAGAATAACCTGAACCACTTTAATTGACAATAAGAGTTTCAATTGAAGTTTTGTAACCTAACGTAAAATCGATCTTTGATATGGGCAATTATAATTTTCGTAATTGTTATGACTTGATAAATATGTTGCTTGCTAGAAAAAAGAAGCATTAAGTTTAAGCTTCAAGAAAAAAATTAATTTGGATGGAGAAAAAGTGCAAAAACAACGATAAACCAGTTCGAGAAGCAATGATTGTTTTAACAGGTTTCATCATCCGATTCAGAAAAAGTCAAAAACAGTTGCAGAAAATGTTAAACAAAGTTAATAAAATAATAAATGCCAATCATTATCAGGTTGGCAAGGTTGCCATTACGATCGATCTCGTTTTAATCTCCACTGATAATCGCAATCAGGGCATCTAACAGAAACTAGGAGCAGTCAGAAATTAGATGAAAAACAAATAATTAAGTAAAATAAAGATAAGCATGCAAATTTATGTGACATGTAATCAACGAAACTATCACCCTGATAAATTTCAAGAAACCATGATGTCAACCAACAACAAAAACTCCATAAACAAAAAATGCAAAAACAATAGCGCTTTTTACCCACAAATGATCCAAAACCCCAGAAAACAGAAAAGTTTGTAAAAATTTTTTTACCATTTTTTTTTAACAACGACAGAACCCTAATCTCGTTTCTCCTGACTAGGAGAACTAAGTGGAAAAAGTGTCAAGAGCTCCGGTGGTTGGGTTCCTCTAGGCGTGTTTAATGGTGATGGGTGCAAGTAAAAGCCCTTCTCTGCAATCGCCTTTTCCTCCTCTGAAACCACAGGAGAAGATGGTGATACGTTTCCAGAACTCGAGTAAAAGAGTGATTCAGACCGTAGTGGAGTCACCGGGCTGGGGATCGGCGAGTCGAGCAGGCGAGCTTGGCTGGGAGAGACACAATGACTAGGTGAGTTGCGTAGAGTGGTGAGGCCAAGCTTGATCTCGAGCTTTCTCATGGTGTGTTGCCTACGTTCTTGGAGTTTGAAAGGTGGACGGCGTAGGCCTGTTGGGTCACCACCAGGAAGGGAAGTTTTTGAAGAGATCCTTCCAGGGAGGGTAATAGGGAGTTTCTCTGTGTCGCTGGCGAATCCTGTTAGCTTCTGGACCAGGTCTCGGAAGGTGTTTGCATCAGCCTGAACGAAAGTTGTTGGCGTTGGCTTTGTTGCAGGTGATGATGAAGCTATGGTGTTTAGGTGCTTTTCCATTTCAAGCAGGGCAAGAAATTTAAAATTTCAATAATTAGCCTTAGAGAAACAAAAACTGGCCTAAGATCGAACAAAAGTAAATTTTGTTCATTGGTTTTATAGAGAAGAGAAAGAGAATATTTGGTGAGATCTTTGTGTAAGCGTGTGTGTTTTGGGTTGTATTGTCAGCGACAGTGATCTATTTCGATAAGGGTTACATTGAATTTGAAGGGTATCTATCAGTATTGTATGGCCTGGCGACACAAGGAATATGGGCTTTGCCCTTCCTAATTCCCATGCAATTGTATGCACCCAAATCTCCAAGTTTTACTGTTACTTTATTACGGGATCTCGACGGCTATTTCAGATTATCATTGATAATGAATAAATACATCTGATATAAATGTTAGTTCTAATTTTATAGAATAATAATAAGGTCTTTATTGGATATATCTTTTTCATACAGCGGTGTAATCCGAAATATTATTCAATGAATTAAAAATAATTATAATTATATTTTTATTTTTATTTATTTTTTTCTCTTAAAATTATATTGTTTTCTTTTTCGAACACTTGATTTTTTTTTTCAATCATTTATTATTTCTTAATCCAAGAAAGTAAAAAAAGCATATAAAAAAGACTGAAAGATTATCTTTTAAAGTACACAAATATATTAATATAACTTTTTTTCATATAAAATCTTTAAATAATAACAATGTCATTACAAAAATTAAATATAAATAGAAAACAAAAGAATAATAATCTTGTATGATAATGGAATTTTAAATTTTACAAATTAAATTGAAGAGTTAACATGTATCTATTAAAATATATTTAAAAAATAATAAATTATTTAATTATTAAAAACCATAGCAATCATCTAATTTTACCTGTAAAGTTTACAAATTTGTTCATTAATGTAGAGAAAAATAATTTAAAAAAAATCTTCAATCTAAATGTATCTTCTTAGAATTGATGTGAACCCTTTTTACATTTTAAAATTATCATTAATATATCAGATGCATTTTTTAATATATGTAATTAAACAATTATTTACCAAACTATTTTCTATTGATTTAAGTAACATATCTTTCACTATTTTGATTGCTCAAAAAGTTCTTTGTATGTTGCCAACGAGGCATTAATTTAGCAATAGGAAGAAAATCTTAAAACCTTTAAATTTTTTATTCAAATTTTATAATGCGAAAATTTGATCCAATTTTATATTGAATTTATCCATGAATGTGATAGTTTGTTGTTTGATTGGTTTATTTATATAATTTAATTTATTGATTTTGTATGTGTAATACTTGAATATAATTAATTATAATTTCTCTTGTACTGATAACTATATAAAGAAAAAATTTATATAATTACAATTGCAATTGATAAAATCATAGCAAGTTTATAATACTAAAATATTTATTGCTTAACCACACTTTTTGTGATATCTATTTTTCATTAATTATATATGGATCTCAAATTATTTTATAATTTTAAATTTTTATTTCAATGTAATCAATCTATCTATAATTTTATTTTTTAGTGGGATTAATTTATTTTATATCAATATATTTATTATAGGAGATTTTCACATATTCAATGGGATCAAAACACCCCCTAGTTGTAATTAATCCTATAAAAGATTATATGCACCTTTGAGATGACAAGAGTCAACCCACACCCACGCAACATCTTCATGTTAATTAAATTTTTTATCTTTAGACTTCGAGACTTTTATCATCATAATTATTTTTTTTTTGGGTGGTGGTACTGTGTTTAAGATTTTTAACTAAATAAAAAAATTAAAATAAGTTGAAATTTTAATTTAAATGGTTTATACAATCATTTATAAAAAGTGAATATTTAATAGATTTATTATTTAAATCCCAGTACTTATAACTTATTTTTCTATTTTCGCTAATTTGAAAGAGATAAACTTCATTTTGTTTATAAAGAAAACCCTTTATTTTGATTCACTAACAAGCTGATGATTACAAGGAGTCTAAATGAATACTAAATGATTTAAATAGTTGAGAGTTGCTTTGTTTCCATTGTCAAAATGGGCATGGAAGGTTAAGTAGTTGCTATCAGGTGGCTTAATTAAGTTACATCTCTTGCACTACCGATGTGCACAATCCTCCTTTAATTCCCCATTGTATTGTCACTACACCTATATCAACAACAATATCCTGAAATCTATATATGTTAAGGGGCAGGAAGAAATAGAGAATCCTGGAGGGCAGTGAATGTAAATCCAAAAGCTAGCACATCTGCTATCTTATCAAGAACAAGCTTTGAAAATAGTGGGGATATGGATCCAACAAATGATCAAACAGGTGCATGCATGCTTTGCTTGCCTTTTAAAGAAGCAAAAAAAGGATTAGCCCCCCAATAAAAGTTGCATCTTACCTTATGATGTTGAGTGTGCAGAGAACAATGATTTCTCCACTTGATATTTTGATTTGGTTGGATTTGAATGTGACTAACAAAAGGTAAGCATGGCAAGTACCATTTGATCTAATACAACTACTTAGATTAACGTAACAGTTTGATTAACACATCAAAATTTTTTTTTTATTCTTTCCTATTCTCAAATAATCAAGGGGTGGTTAATTAAGTGAAGGTGTCTTATTCATGCTATTATCATCTCTTGATTTGTTGGTAATAAGAGAGAGAATTTCGTAAATTCTCCCTCACAAAAATGTTTCTCTTCTAGGCGAACATGGCGACCCAATTTAGGTGATCCAATAATGTCGCCTACACAAGATGAGCCACTTAACAGTGTTTCCTTTGGGCTAAGCGTACAGCGAGATGGTTTTTGAGCCCTCGATAAGTACCCATTAGCATTGTTTCACACTTCAAAAAATAAAATGTTTTCCTTTTAAATCATTCAACTAAAACTCTATCAAGCCACCTTTTTTTTGAATTATGATTTATCATTTATATCAAAGACAATTAATCCTAAAATTATTTTTTTCCTTTTAAATAAAAAAAAATCATTCTAACAAATGACTTTGAACCATTACATTTGATAATTTTAAATATAATACAAAAATAATATAATTTAAAATTTTAATAAAAATTATAAATAAATTTAATAAAATAAAAAATATATTTTATATTTTTATATGAATATAAAATATATCATATAATTTTTTTATAAAATATAACTTATATGTATAAATTTGTAATATTTTATAAGATGCGAAATACATAAAATATTTGCAACAATATCCGGTCATCACTGGGCAAAGCCTTGAGCCACCAACGGGCAACAAGTACGAAAATCAAGCGTTTGATTTTTTTTTTTTTATTCCTTCATGTTCCAAACAAGAATTGGGTCGTGGGCCCTTCTCTCGGCCATCGTTATAGTTAGCCAACAGCTCATAGCTCGCAGTTTATCTTCATTTTTCCTTGTTTCTGTTTGAAAACGAGGGGACTTTCGTTGGGTTTGCGCCGCAAGAAAATCCCTCCCAAAAGCCAAATTGTCACCTCTTTTTTTTTTCTTTAATTTTCATATAAAAAAGCCAATATCTTTGCAAAAGATAGTAATATGGGAAGTGAAGAGTCGTGCGAGTTGTTACAGGCTAGTGATAGTGGGCAAATCAATTGACAAGAAAGACATGAGCTTTGTGTTGACAAATAAAGCGTTATTAAGTGTTGGGGTTGTACCTCAAGGTACAACAAAAACGATAACTGCAAAGTCCAAGGGTTCCGGGGTTTTGGGTGTCAGAGCTTCTGCTGTGGATTCCTATGAAAGCTCTTCCGATTTTGTTAAGCGTATGGAAAAAGCTTGGCTTATCTCTCAGGTACAATCCTATTACTTTTAATGTTATTATTTGTGGCCTGAAATTTCAATCTTATTTGTTTGAGTGGGGTTTTCGAATTGGTACCCCCGATTCCATTATATCAATGATTCAGCTCCCCTGATCATAGAATTTCAAACTTGTTGCATATTTGTGAATTAGAACGCTTTTTTAAAACTAAATTGGATTGAATTTGATTGGGATTATGGGGAGTGATTTTATTTTTCTTAAATTTTGTGATAAGTGGTATTGGGTGGTTGATATTTTATGCGTCTTAGATATTTAAATTCTGGAGAATTTCGGTATCAATGGCTTTATATGAATTGAAGAAATCTCTGGTTGAGTAGATTGTGGATTGCACCATTTTCTTCATCCTCTTATTCAACTACCTGCTTGTATAATTCTCCAATTCCTTTGTAGTTTCATTAATTCCGGGTTTGTTTCCTTAATTTGGAACTTAAAAAATGTGCATTGAGGAGGTGTTGATGTGAAAAATTCTATGAACTTAGCAAATACGTTTGCTATAACATAGAAAAAATGATCAATTTCCTATTCGTCCATTCTGTTTCTGCTGCTTAAGTGCCAGAGAAGTACTCCGGGAAAGAGGTTCTAAGATAATGTTGATACTATCGAAATGCATCTGACATGGGGTTTTGAGGAAACAAAAAGGGATTGTTGTTCATGCGCAAAAAAAGGGATTGCATTTGTTTCATGTTGGACTCGTTTGGGAACTCGTTGAGTCTTTGAGCCAACTAAAGGCTAAAAACAAATTTCCTACCATTGTTGGATCCTTATGTTTTCATTCTTCATGATTCTTACAGCAACCAAGGCCAATTGCTTGTTCTTCATGCAGCTCCAAGGGGCACGTTGAATGCAAGTGGTGTGGGGGTACGGGCTTCTTTATTCTTGGGGATAATATGCTCTGCCAAGTTCCGTCTAGAAATACTAGTTGTGTAATCTGTGCTGGGAAGGTATATATCGAAAATATGGGCATCTGTATACAACGTATGACAAATCCTCCTTATTCTTTTGCATGCAAGAGCGCATGCAATACTGCCAGCTGCCCTACTTAAACAATTTCCTTTCATGGTTATTGTAGGGATCAAGGTGCTGCTCTGACTGCAAAGGAACAGGATTTCGTGCCAAGTGGTTGGGTGAACCTCCGTTTTCCAAATAGTGGATAGTTTTTCAGTTGTTTCCTGCTGCCAAGTTAATATGTCGTAGGCTGCAAACTACCATAAAATATATTTGCTATGTCCATTAGAATAGCATAGCTTCTTTGACTCCAAAGTACAAATCCCACCATGTTTTTTTTTTTTTTTTGCTCATGTACTTGTACAATCTTGTCTCCTTATGAAAGAGAAAAGAATCAACGGTTGTTTCTTATTGGTTGAAATTGTCAGGATGTAGAATAATTCATTGTTTGTCTAGAGAAATATTTATTCAAAAAAGTCTTATTTTCTATGCATAGCAAGATGATATCACTTACCAAATTGTACAATAATGAAGCACGAAGAGCACCAAAATACAGTCTTTCCAAAGGAGAATGACCAATGCTTGAAATGGTTTTGAAAACTGCAGTTTGGAATTGCTGTTTCCTTTGCATGCATTATGCCTTTACTGTGTAGAATTTTTCTATCTCTTGCAATTAATTGATGGGAAGACAAATGCCTTGCTCTTTTATGCATGTTTGTTTTCTTTACGTAATCACTTTGCATGCCTCTAAAATTGACTATCTTGCACTGCATACAGAGGTTTTTGATTTGTCAGCTAAAATATTAAAAAGAACTCTTAAATTTTACTTCCTCTATCTCTTTTTTTTTTATCCATTTTTTTGGAATGTCCCAAAATTATAAATATAAATATATATATATATTGAATATTTAAAAGTCTTCTATTTATATTTTAAAATTATATTTTAAATTTTTTTTAAAATTTTTTGACATTAAAAATCATGAAAATTTAATTTTATAAAAATTTTTAATTTTAATATTAAATACATTAAAGTAAAAACTTTTTTATTTTTACTCCAAGAAAATCAATATCACTTAAACAATTTGGGACAAAAGGAGTATCACTTTATTTAAAAAAGCTCTTATACGTTTTTTTACGCAAATAAATTTTTATATTTTGATTTGTATTCGAATAAATTTTTAATTTTTACATTTTTTTACTAGTTCTCTTTAAGTAAGTAAAAATTGACTCTTTATATAAATAAAAATTTTACTTCAAGCATTTGTGATCATTAGAAACTAATGTCTTACATATATTAGGCATTATTTTTAAAGATTTATTTAAACACAAATTAAAAATTAAAAGTTTATTTGAATGCAATAAAAATATAAAAAATTATTTAAATAAAGTGTTACATTTAAGAGCTTTTATTATTTTAGCCTTCTTTGTTTGAAATGGAAACCCCGTTCATGCTTTTTGTTCATGAATTAGTTCGCATAAAGCATTATATGGCAATCTTGCGCTCTGTTAAGCCAGGGATTCGTAGATGAAAACGTGAATTTTATTTGCATTTTTAAACATAAGGTAATTTAAGCAACCTAACTAGACTAGATTTTATGTATATTTCATGTGAAAATCATCTCAGTGAACAAAAAATACAACAACTAAAAGCAAGCATAAAGTTCTTGATAACACTAGAATATTCAACTCATCATCCTAGGAAATCACTAGTAATGTGAAAGTTGTTTAGTTGCTTTGAACGATAGCTGAGAACAGTAATTTGTTAATATCCTCAGACTCTGATTCCTGCATCTCATCTCCTGCACCAATATTACAGAAGTGTTACAATAGAAACATTGATGCAAATGTATTGATTGCCGAGTAATTTTTTCCTATTGCAAAGCCCATTTCTTTCAGACCAAGAGTGCATCTCAAATTATTCCCACATTGGGTTAGGTTTAGGAACACTATGTTTGATAGGAAGGAAGGAAAATGGAAGGAAGGGAAATAGGTGAGGAAAGAAAAAAGGAAGGAAAGAAGGAAAGTCATATTTTCTTCATTGTGTTTGGTGTGAAGGATGGAAAATGGAGGGAAAGAAAGATGTCATGGGTAAATTTGTAAAAAAAATTGTTACTTTATGTTAAATACGTTAAATGAGTGTTTTCCTCCTGCATTGAGAAGGATTTGGAGGGGAAAGAAATATGCAAATCCACTCATTATTCTTCTCTCTTCCTATTTTCCTCCTACCAAACGAAAGAAAGGGTGGGAAGAAAATAGTTTTTCCTTACATCCTCTTTCTTTCCTTCCTCGTTTCCTCCTACCAAACACAGTAACAACATATAAAAATTTTAGCCAAGGTATAACAGGGAACAAAACTTTGGCCCAAAATCTTAATCTGAAAGTACTACGATAAGCAATCAAACAAGCTCATGGAACTCCATACGTACTCTCCCCCATAAAAACTAAAAGTTCATGAAGTTCAATGGTGGATTAGATCCCAAAAAATGTTTACATGCAAGTACTGGGACAACAGAAAAAAAAGCCACTACTTCTGAATCTTTTAGATCCAAGACAATCCATACCATCTGAATGCCTAATTTTATAGGGGACAAAACTGAAATCCTAATTGCCAATGCCTTCTTTTGGGTGTTTGCTTAGAGCAATTTCAGAGCACCAACATAGGGAACCAATCATATATTCATATACGACCACCTTTCCAATCCCAAATGTCATATCCCCACCATAATCTCTTTTTCCCGAATGAAATAAAATGAAGAATCGTATCTGGCATTATTGTGCAAAGCAGTAAACTTACCTATTCTTGATCTTACTTGAAGTGTCCACTCATCAATGATCTGCATGAAGCAAACATCAAAGAGGTGAAAAAACTTTCTTCTAAATCATAGCTGTTTTAAGTATGTGTGAAATGTCAGATATGAAGTGCCTATATTTTTTGACAAGATTTAATTCCTGTAGGCTTTATCAAGAAAACATAAAGCAACCATGACGTCTAAGCATGGCTGTTTCTTCTTAAGCAGAGCCCAACAATAGTTTGATCTTGGTTGCTTGCTGGCAAGTGGTGCAACCACTTTGGACACCACTTGGAAAATAGACAACCTTAACAACTGGTGCATTAAACATTAGCCCTGGAATTGAACAACATCATCACCAGCATAACCATTAACCTTCATGATTTCCCTATCATAACTACACATGCTTCTACTGATTACAACGGGAAAAAAGTGGAACCAAACACAGCTTTGAATAGAAAAAAGAAGCAGAGAAACCTGGTTGAAGTTGGTGAATGCTGGATCATCACAATCACTGGTAAGCGGAATGCCAGTTGATACTTGCATACGCTGGATTAAATTTCTGTTCCCAACAAGAGTTGTCCTAGCCTTATCAATCAAATCCTGAAAAAATTAAATCTATAAATAAACAAAGGTCGACTCGAAAAATTTTAAACTTTTAAGGAAACCCCCTCTGAAGTTCCTTATATATGTGTATATAGATATATATATATATATATATATATTTAACCTGTTTGGCCGATAAAAGCTCACGGCATTGCTCTGTCAAGCTCGATAATTCTTCCTGTATCTTCTTTATTCTAGACACCAACTTCATCGGATTCGCCTGCAATCAACACTCAAAAAAAACCCTCAATTGTTTAAAATTTGTTCCTTTTCCAAAAAGAAGATACATGAAAATGGAAATTTAGAATTTTGGCTTACATTATCAGGATATATTTGTTGAAACTCCTTCTCGAGCCTGTACTGAACCACGAGGAGATCATGGTTTGCTTTGGTGAACAAATTCACCAAATTATCAGCTGCTTGGTGATGGTTTTGTTCCTCATGATTCCGATGATGACCCATCCTTTATCGTCTATTTCACAATCACACCCCAATTAGGGTTTTCTTCTTTTGAATTTATCGCAGTTGTTTAGCCACGCGCCTTTTAAGAGAGTGGAATTAAAAGCTTCTTTATTTCCCCTAATTTCACCTCACCACCTGTTTTTTAATATATTTGCGTAATTGACCCCAAAATGACTTTTCTTTTCCTTATCGATTGATTGATCAAACTCCAACCGTCGAACGCTGCTGGACAAAGAAAAACAACAATGGCAGACGAAGACGAGAGAGTTCTAGAGAACCAGCTAGAGCTTCAGTTGAAAGAGCAAAGAGACTCACTCTTTGCACTAAAAGATGCTCTCGCTTCTGACCCCTCCAATCCCGACCTCATCGCCGTACTCATCTTGTTCAATCCCTTTTTTTCCTCTCACAAATCTTCAAATTCTCGCGATAAATAATCTAAATTGTATTTTGAATTTTATTTCTATTTGATTGGTTTAGGTTCACGAGGAGCTTGTTGAGGCAATCAAAGAGGCAGAGGAGGGGCTTCTGAATCTTAAGCGCGCACGTTTACTTCGAGAAGCTGATTCAGCGTTAAATGTTTTAGATCAAGCAGCCGTTGAGGAGGTTAAGGCGGAGGCTCTTGACCCGACTGATGTAGAAGTGGAACCACTGGAGGAGGAGGAGGAACGAAATTGCCGGGTCGGGTCAAAATGTCGATTTCGTTACAGTGACGGGCGGTGGTATGACGGTCAAGTTGTTGCATTGAACAGTTCTGATTCTGCAAAGATATCTTTCCTCACGCCCACTTCAGAAAATATGTTGGTAAGCGCTAGCTTGAGTTCCTATCTGTTATTTCTTTTTGTTTATGTAAAGGTTTATACTTGAGAATTGAAACCCTAATTTGCAATGTTATTTGGAAGTTAGAAAGTTATGAAATTTCTGAAAACGGAAGCAAGAATGTGAGTAAAAAAGTTTTGAAGATAAATTACTCTGGTTTACTGAACTTTTAGAATGAGCCTTCTCTATCAATGTTTTCTTTTTCTTTTTTTTAGCATTGCATGATGAGGCCTTAGGAAATACAGGAAAGAGCAAGATTTTTCTTGCAACCTTGAAAAGGAAAAGGGAAATTTTTTGTTTGATTTACATCTCAGCACTAGCAAATATAGGATATCCTTTAGTCTAAATGATATGCAGGAACTGCATAACCGGGTTATTTGAGTGAGGTAGTCTGTGATAGCTGTCTTATGATTGCTATGCGAGTTTTTCTACTCTTTCATGCTGCTTGTTTGTTGGAGTTATCTGCAAATTGGATTTAAGTTTGGGAAGGAATGGGTAACTATTCTCTATTGCTAATTGAGCAATATTTGCTGTTTCCAGTACTGAAAATGATACTAATATATCTTATAAGGTAAAACTACTTGTTTTTGTCCAGTTACTAATGCTAGACCACCCGAGTGCAGATATGCAAGTTCTTTCTGCAACAAAGATGTCGATTTGGTGCTAATTGCCGCTTATCGCATGGTATGTTGTGTATACTAGTAGGTTTTGAGCCAAAAGTTCCCATTGTTTTTATTTTTGCGTGTTCTTTCGCTCAAGGTAGTGCATGATATGAGTTGAGCTTGACAAACATCAATCTTATATTGTGGAAAGCATCATAAAGATACAAAGAATTGTTGTTTTACATAAACCCTGTTCATTCTAGATGGAGAGCTAAGAAATTTACTCTATATAAAGGACATATAAAATGAGACATTCAGGAGATACTCATATATGTACATTCTAATCTTTCAATGCAGCCATGGGCAAGTTGTATCAGGCACTTATTTGGGGGATAATGTTAGGGATCATCACAATTTTGATATCATTTGTTGGGCTAAAAGCTCCAATCTAATTAAACATTAGCGAAAGCGAAATCAAATAATCGATCAATCACACAGGAGACAATAATTTCACGTAATTCGGCCTAATCGACCTACATCCACAAATGAGAAAAAAGATCCATTAGTTGTAGAAAATTACAAACATACAATCCATATCAAACACTTACAATTAATACCCATAGACTTTCTTAATCTTCTCTAATCTTATGGAGTATTATCAACCTAAGTAATCACATATTCATGTGCACCTATGCACTATACCTATGTGAACTCTCTCAGTCTCTTTTAGTCCACTCATAAACATTCAAATATACACTTCCATAAGACGTAAATAATTAGTAGTCTTATGGGCTGTCTATCTTATAAAATCCTACAACTCTCTTATATTTTTTTCTCATATTTAACTTTATAGAGACTTAATCTATTTATAAGCATGCAAACTTGCCTATCAAAAATCATTTTTCTTTTAGAATTTTTCTTCTGTAAGTTAAACTTGCCTATTAAGAATCTCTTTTCTCTTAAATTCTTTTTTTTTTTCAAGTTTTTTTGTCCATCAAGTAATATCTAGTCAATCCCAAACAAATCTATTATAGGATTTGAGTCACTATTCACAACAATCTCTATCTTGACTCAAATTCCTTCAAATCATCTGTCTTAATGCTAGGCATGCTTGGCTTCACCTGCAATGGAAGTCTCACAATCATCTTCTCTTGTATGTCTTCAAGCTTCATGCAAACCAATCTATCAAAGCATGAACTCAAACTCTTCACTTGAATCGAGCTCTTTTGAACTTGCCTCTTCCCATTGCTTGAACCATGCTAATACCATTTGTCGGGGATAACCACAATTTTGATACCCTTTGTTAGGAATTACGACAACTCTGATACCACTTGTTGGGAATCACCACAATTTTGATATTACTTGTTAAGGATTATGACAGTTCTCACAATTAAATATCAGCAGAAGCAAAATCAAATAATCAATCAATTGCACAAGAGACAACAATTTAACATAGTTCGGCCCCACCGACCTACGTCCACAGATGAGAAATAAGATCTATTAATTATAGAGAATTACAAATATGCAATCCATATCAAGCACTCACAATTAATACTCATAGATCCTCTCAATCTCTACTAGTCCTGTGGAGTATTCTCAATCCAAACAAACACATATTTTTGTGCATTTGTGCACCATACTTATGTGGATCCTCTCAGTCTCTTGTAGTCCATTCATAAACATTCAAACATACACTCTTATAAGATGTAAATCTGAAGTAGTCTTATGGGCTGTCTATCACATAAAACCCTAAACTTTCATACATATTTTTTTCATACCTAACTCTATAGAGACTCCATCTATTTATAAGCATACAAACTTGCCTATTAAAAATATCTTTCCTCTTAGAATTATTTTTCTACAAATCAAATTTGCCTATTAAGAATCATTTTCTTTTTAAAATTCTTCTTTTGAAAGTCTTTTTGTCCATAAAATAATATCTAGTCAATCTCAAATAAATTTGTTATAGGATTTGAGTCACTGTTCCCAATAAATAAGAATTAAATAACAGATCTGTGCTGCCATGGTGTGTGCTCGAAAGGGCTATGTTTAGCATATCATAACTCCAGTTCTTTCTGAAGTTGATTTAGGCATTGAGCCATGATCTATAAACCCTAGCCTCTTGTACAGTATTTTTGCTCTCATTTCTTATAACAGCATCAAGGATACCACTAGCTTCATTTTTCACTTTGTCCTTTTATACCAGTTGCTTCTGATACGTTAGAGTTAACATTTATATTTCCATAGGAGTTGATGTCCCATTATCTTCACTGAAGAAGTATGCTCCAACCATGTGGGAGCCATCAGTGGTTGGGTCCAGCATTTGGGCAGTCTCTGATGGTAAATTTGGCATCTGGAGGGAAGCTGAACTTGAATCATGGAATGATGAACTCAGAATGGGGAAGGTTGTTTTCCGGGATAATGGAAGCTCTGCAGAGCTTGGGATAGAAGCTCTGTCGTTGTCTGAATTTGCACAAATGAGTGATGATGAAGACAGTGAACTAAGCTCTGAAGAATCTGATTCTAGTGACTATGAAGAGGAGAGCCCAAGGGGTTTAGGTTTTCTGGAAAGCACTGCTCTACAGAGAGGTATCCAGACAGAAACTACCATCTTTGCTAAGTGGGAAAACCATACCAGGGGTGTAGCTTCTAAGATGATGGCCAATATGGGTTATCGGGAGGGGATGGGTTTAGGTGCATCTGGCCAGGGAATGTTGGACCCAATCTCTGTTAAGGTCCTTCCTCCTAAGCTATCTCTTGATCATGCTCTGGAGTCTCGTGAAAGTGATGAGAGCAAAGAGAAAAAAGGGAAGAAAAGAAGCAGAGGTGGCAAGAGAAAGCGTGAGAAGAAGTTTGCAGAATCAGCTCGGGCTGCAAAAGATGAAGAGGAATCAAGACCCGATGTTTTTAGCCTCATCAATAACCAACTTGCAATGCATAGTGAAGCAGTAAATGGTGTGTCAATAATGAAACAGCATCATAAAAAAGGCTCTGGAGAGGAGAAGAAAGTAGATAGGAAGGCATTGGTTGCATATGATGATGAGGTGAAGGAACTAAGGTTACGAGTTGCAAAGCTTGAGGAAATGGTGAGCAGAAACAGAAAGGAAAAAGCTGTTTACGAGGCTGCTATGAGGAAGTTAAATGAAACTCGCAAGGCATTGGCAGAGGCGGAAGCAGTTCATGCGTCCGCATCAAATGCAGTTGTTAGCAAAGAAAAAGAGAAAAAGTGGCTAAAGTTTTGAAATGTGATATCTTACATTGTTGTATAACTTAGAATTATCCATAGTCTGGTTATAGATTTTAGCCGGAAAAAGGAAAAAGGTGAACTTAAATTAAACTTGCTTCTCAATTCCAGTTTGCATGAATCATTTTTGTGGAGTGATACTCCTCCATTCTTGTGCAACCTATTTTATTAATATATGCATTTTTTGAATGAGGATATATTTTTTAAAAACACTGTAACTTGTAAGCGTTATGTGTAGATTACTTGTGTAATTGAGTTGACACACTGTCAAGATCTAATTTTGTTTAATCCAAAAATTCAAAATTTAAAACTGTCAATCCAAATTTTATTTTGCATATTCAAACTTGATTTATAATTTAATAGAAGTAATTGGGTTTAAATTAATAGATATAATTAAGTTTAATAAAATTATAAATATTAATATTAAATATATTTATATTATTTGTTTATATATTAAATATATTAAAAAATAAAAATTTGATTAAAAATTTCAGCTTATAGAATTTTTATTAAATTATTCAAATTCAGTTTGATTCATTCTTCGAATAATTTAATTTTAATTGATTAATAAATAAATTAAATTTAAATTTTATTTAAATATGATTGAAATAGTTTACAATTAATTTAATCATATTTATGCCACAAGCATGGACTAATCCCACCAATCAAATTTGATTAGTACGAGAAAATACATAAATGATTCAAAATATATCGTAAATATCATTAAATTTTAAATTTTTATTCACTTAATCAAATGCCATGTTCTTTATTATCACTAATCACCTTGATTTCCTAGCCGTGGCCCGTTTGGATCCTAATTTCCTACCTGCGCCATACGTACTCGTAACGGTAACACAAAGCAACGCCTAACCAAACACCGACCTAAAACAAATTTTTTTGACAAAAAAACGAAAAATATCCAAAACTTGGTCGCCAAGAAATCTGAACTTACTTCAACTCAATTACACTGCTACTATCCTTACACTATCATTATTTTATTCTTCTCCAAGAATCTTTATATTTCTTTTCACTCCCAAAATCTCCTTTTCTTTTTCAGTGATTTGCTTTTTATTCTGCTTCGAATGGGCGACGCGGTCAATCCAAAAAATCATATGACGACTTTTCCAAAAACTCCGGCAACTATCGGTTCGTCGTTGATTCCGGTGATCAACAAGCTTCAAGACATTCTTGCTTCTTCTGGTACCGAATTGTCCGATATTTCGGTACCTCAAGTGGCGGTAGTTGGCAGCCAGAGTAGCGGTAAATCGAGCGTGCTCGAGGCACTTGTTGGCCGCGATTTTCTGCCTCGAGGATGCGATATTTGTACTCGAAGACCGCTAGTTTTAATGTTAGAAAGCCGTCCTCCAAATTCAGAAGACGATAGAAGCGAGTGGGGTGAGTTTCGCCACTTACCCGGCCGCCGCTTTTATGATTTCTCCCAAATTCGTCGAGAAATTCAGGTCCCATTACCTGTTTTTATATTTCAATTTTTTTCTTTAATATTTAGCAATTTTAAGTTCAGTGGATTATTGAATTGGTATTTAGATTTTAGAACATACTATTGAAATTTCATTAGATGTTCAAATTTGGAAATTTTTGCTGTCTTTATGAACATTTCTTTTTTTATTAAATTTGTGTAGATTGAGACTGAAAGAGAAGCAGGTTGTAACAAAGGGGTTTCAGAAAAACAGATTCGATTAAAGATTTCCTCTCCCAATGTCCTTAACATGACCCTTATCGACTTACCTGGCATTACCAAGGTTCCTGTGGGGGATCAACCTAGTGATATAGAAGCAAGAATTAGGAGAATGATTATGGCACATATCAACAATGAAAATTGTATCATATTAGCTGTCAGCCCGGCAAATTCCGATTTAGCTACATCTGATGCACTACAGATAGCTAAATTAGCTGATCCAACTGGTAAATGATAACATCTTTGGTTTTATGTCTGTGTATGTATGAGTTCTTTGTTTTGATACCTATTCCATGGACTGACATATATTTTCAGGTTCTCGGACAGTTGGTGTAATCAGCAAGGTTTGTGTTATTCTTCTTTGGAACAAATAAGGGAAATTTATGTGATATAATCTTTTTCATTCCTTGATATTGTTGCCATCCTTACAGAATAACTTTGTTATCTGATACAATTTTCTATGCAGCTTGATATTATGGACAGGGGCACTAATGCCTGTAACTTTTTGCTTGGAAGGGTGGTTCCACTTAAACTTGGTTATGTTGGTGTAGTGAATCGCAGTCAGGAGGTATAAGTTATTAAAGGCTGCAGTTGACATCTCAGTGTAGTTTATCTGCAATTATTCCTTGTAGTGGATAACTATAGTGTTTGCATGTGTGTGCACTTGTGTTTGTTTCTGTTTCAAAGCATTGTTTGTGGATTCTTACTTTATACATACTTTAGAGTTAGCTTTGCAGCAACCAGTTTGGGTACTTAGGACCTAGGGAGCAATATGCTTGCAAAATAAGTAAGGCCCTAGTAAGGATGTCACAAATTGGCAATGCAAGGGGAAATAGAGTGCTTTTTAATTTAATTATTGTCACTTTTTTTTTGTCCTTTTCTGATTCATTGAATAAGTGAGGTGAAGGGTGATAACTATTTTGTTGCATGTCACAGGATATTAATAAAAACCGTAGCATTCAAGAAGCACTCGCATATGAGGAACAGTTCTTCCATGATCATCCTGTATTTTTCATCCTTCAAATAGAATTTTGACTTCAAGGTCACTTATTTCACATATAATCTGAACACTTTGCTCTTTCTTGAAATATATGTATTGAAGGTGTATAATGGTGTTTCTGATCGTTGTGGCATTCCTCAATTGGCGAAGAAGCTGAATCTGGTTGGTTTATGACTGCATTTTGTTGAACTTGTAATCCATTTGACAATTATATATATTTTTTCTGTTTTGCACTTCTTTTACATTTTGTCTTTTTTTTTTTATTGATTTGTCTCTTTCCAGATCCTAGAGCAGCATATCAGAAGGGATCTCCCACGTTTGAATTCTGAGCTAAACTCTCGCCTGCATGCAGCTATGAAAGAGCTGCAGATGTATGGAGAAGTTGTGGAATCAAAGGTAAGATGTCACAGTCTTGTAATCTCTTCTCTTGGAAGATGTTGGTGGTGCTAGCCTACATTGTTTGAGTTTGGGGTTTATGGTGGCATTATTTTCAGGTTGACCTGTGCATGTATTAGCATTTTATTTAGGCTGTATGCTTAACAGACTGTAAAATGTATTGTTTGGGAGTTAAGCATTATCACATTTTGTGTTTTGCTTATATGACAGTGAACAAATATTTTATTGCTTCTAATTGTTAAGATCTAAGCAATAGTTCTTACTATTTGGTGATTGCTGCTTATCGTTTTAATTTAAATATACTTACCCATATACCCTCATATTCATGAATTTGCCCCAGTAAAGCCAGGCAAATTTCTTAGACGAAATGGATTTTTTTCTTGGATTATTAGCTTTGTTAGAATTATTCTCTCTAACTATCACACGTGCATATCCAGGCAGAACAAGGAGCAATTTTATTGGACATTCTTAGAAGATACTGTGATGGTGAGGGTTTTATTTTCCTTGTTATAAGTTCCATTTTTGGTGTATCAAAAACATACATGTTCTTATTTTATTCCATTCTTGATTCAAGTTTTAGTCTAACACATATAGGACTTTTTTAATTATCACGGAATTGGAATTGGAAGTGGTCCCTTCTTATTTTAGGAGTAGGGGGGGGGGGGTGGGTGGTAAATGTTATTCAACTCTTCATTTACACTTATTATTTTACCAATCATTGCATAGAAAATTGTATACTGTGTGGTGTATTTTAGTTTCAGGCTAAATTTTCTGCTGTTACTAAGTTTCCTATTTGTTTTTTTTCTCATTGTCGGAAAGATTTTTCTGCTATGGTTGATGGAAAAATCCAGGACATGTCAACTAAAGAGTTGTGTGGGGGAGCCAGGATCCACTACTTTTTTCAGTCAATGTTTGTGAAGCCCTTAGAGGTGATAATTCTCTGTTTCTGAAGTTCGTATGTAATTGATGCTCTGTTGTTATGTGTTATCTAGAGTTTCCCCCCTTGAGAACTTGGAGATTAACTGCATTTTATAGGAAATGGACCCCTGCGAAAGTCTGAGTGACGAGGATATTGCATATGCCCTTAAAAATTCATCTGGTCTACGAAATGTTCTATTTGTCCCAGAGGTGAGTACAATGTTGATTAGTTTTTATACATGCTCTCTCTCTCTCAGTACTTTCCCATTGTTGAAATTGGTGGATCTTATTCTGTATGTTTCTCAATGGGCTTCAGGTTCCGTTTGAAGTTTTGGTTAGAAGACAAATTGCTCAGCTGTTAGATCCTTGTCATCAGTGTCTATGGATTGTCTATGATGAACTGATAAAGGTGAGAACAATGCTTCATGTATCGCTGGGATCTTTAACATAATGAAATTTTGAGTAAATATGTGGATATGATGAATAGAGTAAATTTTCTCCAACAGATCAGTCTGGCTTGTGAATCAACTGGATTGCAGAGGTTCCCATCATTAAGAAGGCACATAAATGAAGTTGTACGAAAGTTTTTAGATGCTGCTGCCAAGCCTGCTGAGACTATGATAGAAAACCTCATTGAGATGGAGGTTATTGATTTCTTGTTTTCCTTTAATTATATGATGTCTACAATAATGTCTGAATTAGTCCATATGTACACAGACTGATACATATGCTTGCTGAAGTTGCGGTCTACCACTTAGTTAATAGCAATCCTACATCATATAACTGCCTTTATTGAAATCATTATGTAATCATAGAAAATAATGAGTTTAGACCCTGAAATTTGTTGCAACACTTGATCACATGTAAGAGCTGAAGCCAACAAGAATTGGTACCATAAAAAATATGAAATGCAAGGTGTTTCTAAAAACCTAAGGTAGATATGTGGATATGCATGTGGTTGCATGTATGACACATATGTGGATCCCTCATGGAAATATCCATTGGGTCAATAAGATAACTAGTAAGAAACAGAATAAAGCTCAGAAAAGCCTGATGAAAATTTTGAGTTTTGATAATTCAGCTTACTTGAATTAAGAGAACTTAAAACCTTGGTAGGGCCTGTTTAGTCATCATGTAATTTAATGTTAGTCATGTTTTGCATGTAAATCTTCTTGGGCAATGCTTGTTTGGCATTTTACTACATAATGTTTTTGTTAATATTTTAATATAATCAGTTGCCATTTATTCGTATGCTTTTTCGTGTAGATGGGATTTAGTTAGCACCCATTTTAGCATAGCAAATTTAGCACCATCTGCTGGATGTTTTTTTTTTTTTTTTGCAGTTCTTGGTCAGTATGAATTTTGCTGCTTTAGTCTTTTAATTCCATTTGATATGGAAGCAAGTTAGTCCCTTATTTTTTGTCTTTCATAGAAAGCAGCTGTTCCTTGGTTGATTGCTTGATCAATAAATTTGACTAGTTTAACATTCCGACAATTTTTACACCCCCTGTTATGATTCACCTACTAAGATACAAGCTACCATGTCTTATATGACTGTTATGTATTTGACATTTTCTACCATGCATGATTGTAAATTTTTATGCATTTTCATCTTTTTAAAATATCAGATGGATTATATAAATTCTTCGCATCCAAGTTTTATTGGTGGGAACAAAGCTGTTGAGTTTGCTATGCAGCAGATGAGATCATCTAAGGTATGGTTGTCATTTCAATTGATTCAATCAACGAATGAAACGTGTAGTTTAATGAATTAGCTTAGCTATTTTAGGTGTTTTTGTGGCTTTATGATGGCGAGTTACCCCTTTAGCTGGTATAGGTTTATGTTGCTTTCTTTGGTTCAGCTTTCATTTCACCTCTGTGAGATTGAATTTGAATCTGAAGGATCAGGAGGGATGGAAAATTAAATATTCTGTGTTAAAAGCATACATTATGTGTTTATACTTTATTACATCTGCTGTTCTAATATTACAGAATTGAATAGAAAATGATTGTTATGAAATCTATGTCTTTAAGGTTGATTCACATGTAATAAAATCTATTGTTGATTCACATGTAATAAAATCTATTTGAATTAAAATAATGACAAGTCTGTATTGACATCTATATGATTCTCACATGACTTCTCATTATTATTTGATTAGTTGCTCTGCTACAAATAATGAGTTACGTTGTTAACTTTCTACATGATATAGACACATTTACTTCATCTTTGTATCATTCAGGAGAGAGTTGATACTGAAAGGGTATCTACATCTGAGAAGGGCCAGATATCCCAAACTGTTGCTGCTAGCTCGGTTGTGAATGGTGTGCCTAACCAGGTGTCTGTTTTTACATTTTTATTCTAATGATTTTTTTGGTAAGACAACTGCATATTGGGAGGCAGGAACAAAGAGAAGGGAAATTTTACATGAAGGATATTGCCAGAAACGACCATAAAGTTCTCCAGGCTTATATCATAATGATTTATTAGCTTTCCCATCTGTCAGTGCCAACATATGTTGGCATCCATTTTCTTAGTTGGTAGTATCTGAATATTCTTGTTGAGCACCATAGCCAACAAGCTCCATTCATTCCCTTAGGTGTATCCTCTTGAAGTCCTAAAGCAGATTCATAATCTCGGTCCCCATCATATGAAGTTCATATACTTTTGAGTATTATAATGCCTCAATTACTTTGAATGAGAATGATTCACCCTTATTGTGCTAGACTTGAACGCATCATGCTCACCACTGTTCATATATGTAATTAAAACCTTTTAATACAATAAGAAAACCATTATGCTGTATTATCACATAGGAATTCTGTAATTTTTAAGCTAGGGGCACTTATTGCATGATGGTTCAAACTGTCGTAGCATGCTTACCGTTTACTTTTAAACACTCAGCCTATGCTGGCATTTTGGCAGGGAAATCGTCCTCAGTCACATAATGAGAGACCTGTATCAGCTGGTAATTAACTCTTAACTAAAGATCACTCCATTCAAGTTTGTTTGTCTTTCAGTTTTTTTTCTTTGCTTTCTCATATGATACTTTTTATATCTGATTAACTGATCTTTTTTAGATAAGGGAAAATTTGGGTGCAGTGGCTGAAATTGTGATGCTTTTTCTTTTATATTTTGAAAAGAAATTATGAAATTTCTTCTTTGTGTTTGTGATTGATGTGGGTCAGAATGTTTCAGTGTATCAAGAACATGCTGCAATTTCAAGATTTGTATATGTATAATAACCTTCCACTTGGCAGGAGATATAGTATGAGATGGGTGTATATTGTCCCGCATTTAAAGAGATTCTAACCCTACTTTGTGTTACACTGTTATGTACTTCAAAGAAAAAGTCATTAATATAATATTTGTAGCTCTGAGAACAATGGAAGGGGTGGTTCCAAATTTAATGTTAGAGAAAATTAACCTGGTTTATAGTCACACAAAAAGTTTACTCTTATTTCTGAATCTTTTGAGCAAGTTTATGATGTGTGCATAGATGATTCTCATAGGCCTTGGCATAAACATTTTATAAGGCTGTTGTTTATTAATAAACATTAACTTTGATAAACATTATGTAGGTGGCAGTTCATCCACAAGGACTTGGGGAATTTCATCAATATTTGGTAACAGGGCATCGTCTATGGGGACTGCAGCTATTGCATCTCCTGAAGAAACTATTCACGAAGTAGAGCGTATGTCATCATCAATCCAACTGAGAGAGGTATTTAGATATTTCAAATATATGTACCTTTTGTGTGAGAGAGTGGCGGTTGCTTTGTTTTTGAATAGCAACATATCTTATCTGTCTTAACTTCACTTCCTTTATGTTTGCCCTTGGTGATCTCAGCCTCCATCAATCTTAAGACCAGTTGAAATGTCAGAGAATGAAGCTACAGAAATAATTGTCACCAAATTACTTGTGCAATCCTACTTTGACATAGTCCGGAAAAACATTCAAGACTTGGTGCCAAAGGCCATAATGCACTTTCTGGTAGTACTTTTTCTTTTTCCTTTCCAGTTGGTCAGTTTTAAACTTTTATACTGATGAATCAAAATTAAAATTCTCCTCCCTTTATATCATTGTTCCAGGTCAATCATACAAAAAGAAACCTTCATAACACTTTTATACAAATATTGTACCGGTATGTATCTTGCTTTTGATTGATGGTGTGTTTTATAGTATATCGTGTTTTAGTTTTCAATTTGCTGAATAGGTAAACGGAAAAAAGGTTCTTTTCGCACTCTGTAGTTGTCCCTGGCATTATTTTCCAATATGAGCTCCTGAAATAAATAATATTTGTATTTTAATTTTGACCCATAAGTTAGGTTCCAAATCATAAAAGAATAAGATGAATCAGAACTGAAAAGCATAATCATTTAATAATCTATTACCTAAAGTTTTTTAATTCAATTTTTTAGGAACGTGTGAATGGCACATGTGTTTGTGCTTTTACATGCATGGTATAATTAATGCAAATTCCTGGCACTTCATATGAATGTAGTTTTCTCTTTTTTCTCCTTTTCATTGTTTTTGTGGTAGGGATATCTGTGTATGTCCAGTTCAAGTCATAGCAAAAATTGTTTGAAGTCTGTACTTTTGAAATATGCAGAGAGAACCTCTTTGAAGAACTGTTGCAGGAGCAGGATGAGGTCGTTGCAAGAAGAAAGCACGCCCAAGAAATGTTGTGTATTTTGAGGCAAGCTGTTAAGGTTTGTAATTACTTTAATTTGTTTATCATTGAGGAGGGAAATGCATATATAGGTGGTACCGGATAACATTTTTTTTAATATAAAAGAAGTTTCTTTAACACTTAAATTTGTTTCCTTATTATATACTAATGTATGCGTCCAGTTTTTAAGTATGAATATCTGCATGCATTACTCTTGGCTTGGGATATGCACATTTCATCTTGTTTGTCTCTATTGACTGAATATTTTTCTGTCTATTCTAGACGCTCAATCAAGTTGAATCTGATGTGGAGTCCCAACATAGGACTACAAACTCAGGTGCCGATGCCTGTCCCGGATTGCCAAGGTTTTCGGACCTCACCAACGGTAGGAACAATTCGTCTTATATATCATCATCCAGTAAGCCCAGAGCTCGGAAATTACTCTATTAGGAAGAGCCATCATTGTCTCTCAACTCCAATGGTGGAATGTATGTCTAGAGTCCCACTGATTGAATTTGTTGCAAGTCGGGTGATTAATTAATCCCTCGGTTACACTTTACAGAGATTCATACATTAAAAAAGTGAAATTTGGCTAATTAGATTTGCTGTTTCAATATTCTTTTTCTACATATGACTCGCAAGGGACTGTACTGTTGAGCATATTGCGGCTGGTTGTACAGTGTAGAAATAGCATGCTTGATATATTGCCTTGTATAGAAATCTAAAATTTTGTGGCCAAGTATTTTTCTTTATTCTTTGATTTAAGGGCTGTTTTGGTCGGACAGCCCTACTTTACTTTTTGGTAATGAGATTTTTCTCTACAAACTTATCAGGGATGCACAAGTGAAAATGAAAAAGTAAAAAGTGATAATATTATAAATGATTTTGAATTATATTAAAACGTTTAAGGTGATATTTAAATTTTAAAAATTTTTAATGTTATGATTTTTAAATTATGAATATGTTAATTAATATAATATTTAAAAAATTATTTATTTATAATTTTATCACATATTATTATTTAAAATTATGTTAAAAATAAATATTATATTAATTGATAAATTTATAATTTAGATATTATATTAAAATTTTTAAATTTCAAATACTATATTAAATATGTCGTATAGTTCGAAGATCGTTTGAATAAAAAAAAGGATCCACTCAAGTGACGTGTTTATTGAAGGAGAAATCATCCCAAACCGTACGTCTACAAAAATCCAGTAAAGACTATTTTAAAAAATAAAATTCCTGTAAAGTACATCAAAGAAATGTACAATTAACCCTAATGTTGTTCTACTCTAAACAGTTTCCTCGACCAATCTCCAACCAAAAAAATGAAGATAGCAGTGGAAGGGTGCATGCATGGAGACCTTGACAAGGTCTACGAAACCATCAAATACATCGAAAACACTCGCAACATCAAAATCGACCTCCTCCTCTGCTGTGGTGACTTCCAGGTTCTTCGCTTAATAGTTTCAGTTTCTGCTTCAATCCTTGTTTTTAAACACAACTTTCAAATACCCAATTGGAGTTTTAACTTAGTTTTTCTTTTTTTCTTTTTTTATCAATTTTCCTTTTGGGACTTAAGGCAGTCAGGAATGAAAAAGATATGGAGTGCCTTAGTGTGCCCCCAAAATATAGGGAGATGAAGTCTTTCTGGAAATACTACGCGGGTCAGGAGGTTGCCCCTGTTCCCACCATATTTATTGGTGGAAATCATGAAGCTTCCAATTATTTATGGGAATTGTAAGTCACCTCTATCAAGCTGGTTCAAGGTTCTTTCCCTTACTTTTCTGGTGCTTTAAGTCTGATATGTGTTCTGGCTTGGGTATTTTGCTACTTTTATAAAAAGTCCCTTAAATGTTACTTTGTGCAATTAAAATGTGTGGGCTTTTTCTTTGTTTATCAATAGGTATTATGGGGGATGGGCAGCACCTAATATATACTTCCTGGGATTTTCTGGGGTTGTAAAGTTTGGCAATATCCGTATCGGTGGACTTTCTGGAATTTACAATGCACGCCACTATCATTTAGGTTCGTTGAAGTTGTTTACTTGTTATTTTTGTGTTTATTTTAGAGTTCTTCTCAAGGTGACCATGTATTCAATGCTAGTGAGCATCCTATCAACATATTATATTGCATCTTTGTATGGAGCGAGTCTCTGTTATTACAGAAGCTTGAAAGATATCCTCATATTTAACTGATAATACTACTTGCTGCTGCTATTATATGTAACCTTTGAAACTGAAACAAATTAGCTTTCCCTTGAGTAGGACACTTTGAAAGGCCACCTTATAATGACAGTACTATCAGGTCTGTATATCATGTTCGTGAGTACGATGTTCATAAACTCATGCAAGTAGAGGAACCGATTGATATTTTTCTTTCACATGATTGGCCACTTGGCATCACTGATTATGGGAACTGGAAGGAACTTGTTCGCCACAAAAAACATTTCAAAGATGAGGTAATTATAATTGATTTGGTGGAAAATAAATAAATGTCAAAGAATGACAATATTCATATTATCTGGCTTTGCTGCATTATCTCATATCAAGTTTATTCAGATTTCTTGTTGACTAATCCTGGTTAATGACAATTTTCATATTATCTGGTTTTGTTGCATAATCTCATGTCAAGGTTATTCAGATTTCTCGTTGACTAATCCTGGTTTCTTGTCCTTTGAAATTTATTTCTTAGATTCAGCAAGGAACTCTTGGAAGCAAGGCTGCTGCTCAGCTGCTTGAAAAACTGAAACCATCATATTGGTTTTCGGCTCACTTGCATTGCAAATTCACTGCTCTTGTTCAACATGAAGAGGGTGGTCCAATGACAAAATTTCTTGCACTTGATAAGTGCCTTCCAGGGCGCAAGTTCTTACAGGTATCTTTTGACTGTTTCCTCTAGGTTCTTTCTTTTGATCATTGCTGGAAGCTAATATATGAATTCTGGCTTTCTCTGATCTTTTAGATTGTCGATATTGAATCTGATCCAGGACCTTTTGAGGTTCAATATGATGAAGAGTGGCTGGCAATAACGCGGAAATTCAACTGTGTGCTCCCTTTGACCAACCAACGTGGAAACTTTGGGTGTGTATATATGACATTTTTGTTTTGACCTCGCTACTTATCTCCCTCTCTCTTGGTTGGGGCAGACTTGTGGATTATTTTAAAATGCGCAATTTTCTATTGGACAAAGTGCAAGTCCTATTACTCTACAAGAACTAATGGCTGACAACTTTTGTTCTAATATGATGGTTTAGGAATACCCAGCTTGACATGCAAGATTTTCGACAATGGGTTAGGAGCAGGCTGGAAGACAGGGGAGCCAAACCTTGTGAATTTTCACAAACTGCTCCACCATACAATCGCTCCCATCCAGTTTCAAACACTACTTTTTTGGGTAAAACTTATGTGTATCAATTTATGGTGATATTTTGATACTTGTCCTTTATGAGGTGCTAAAGGTATCTCTATTAGTGACTTAGCAAAGTCTTTCATCCATTTCAAGAAATTTAAGAAATTTTCTATGTACCAGTTCAAGATTTCAGAAATGAAGAACTCAATTAGTAAATACCTTTGCATCCTTATGTCACTTATCACTCTTATGGATAGGACATCTTGATGTTACTACCACAATTGTTCCTAATCAATGTTCTCCATTTTTTTCTTTTTTTTTTTCAGCTAAATTAAATGTTGGTTAGCATTCACTCATTTTGATACGGGGTTGCTACTGGAATTGTTATGACTTTTGAAATTCATTTGTGCTTGATTTCTTTCTAATTCTTTTCTTTATTTCTTGCTTTTTCCCCTTTTGGTAGGTCATCCCCGTAATCCTCAGACTGTATCTTTCTTGGAATTTCTAGATCTTCCTTATGTTCTTGATAATGCCTTGGAATCCAGGGATTTTCCTGCTTCATTGACTCAAAAGGGTAAGAATTTTCTATTATTTGTCCCAGTTGGTTTAGGTGCATTGACCCTTTATGTGGTATTTGGTGGCTTTCTTTCCCCTTCGTTGTGATGCTACTCAAATCTAGAATCCACATGATTCTAGGATTACCTTTCACCTCTCATGTTTAATATGGAGGTGATGCTCTCTCATACAGCTAATTTAAAGTTCACTCATCTTGTTCGCAGCTTAATTAATAATTGATTATTTGCTTTCTGAAGGTAGAATTTAGGATGTGCCTAAGTTTGTTAGCATCTGCATGCATCCTAAGTGGCCTGAGGCATAAGGCTATAAGTTTGTCTCGTATGGTTTGACTGAACTATTCGTCAGATTTTCTTAAGGTGACAACATTCTTCTTGTTGGTTCCATAGATGATTACAGTGAAGACATTCCCATTGAAGATGAGGATGAACTAGAAGATGTTGCAGAAGCGGACAATGAAAACCAGTAAGCATGAATGTGAATGTTTTTCTCCCAAAGCACTGTTTTCTGCAATGGAGAGGTTTACTAGTGCAAAGATTGATGGAGATCTAGTCATTGGTGGGGGAAAGTTTGGGCAGTCATTATGTTGCTATTCCATGAGGCCTTGGCCATTTCTGAAGTTGTTAACTTAGTCTAATGCTGCATACTGTTTGAACTTTTCATCAACATAAAAGATTAAAAGCAACTCCTCTTTCCCGTTTCTAGTGCAACTGTCTTTCAGTATTTTTGTTATTCTCATTAAATGTCAATCATCAAAATGCTTGCACAGATAATAGGAAAGCCTAATAAAACCTTTTGCTTTTTTTTTTTTTTTTTATTTCCATTGTTCTTTCAAGCTCTAACGTTGTTATTATTAACACTGCAGACGTAAAGAAAATAAGAACCAGCCCGACAGATGTCCACTATTACTACAACTGCTACTACTTTATTTTATTTTTCATAATAACGAATTATTGTTGAGATGTTTCATCACTCATGGGAGATATCTGTCAAAAAAGAGTCGTCAGCCCATTTCCAATGGATATGAATAAATGGTTTCGCACGGTTGTCTATGCTGTGCATGTGAATCTCACCAAAACAAGCAATGTCAGTTTTTCTTTTTTCTCGGAAAAACAGAGTAATTTAAAGTATCCAACGGAGGAAACAGAGTAAAGGAGTTTCTGGACGTGGACGCGAAGTTACGCACTGCTTGTTGAAGAATAAGTAAATTACAATAACACGTATCAAAAATGGGCTTCTTAAAGCTGACAAATTACAGGCATGGCATAACAAAATTTGAAACTGAGTCATACTATAATCATTGATAAATAATGGTCTTAATTTTTCTAAAATTTTTGCTTTGGCACATATCATATTAAATTTTATTTTTTTTATGGAACTGATGTTTTATAAAGATTAATGTCAAAAGATTAAAAATGATTAAAAATATGAAAAAAAAGAGTATAAGATATGTTAATTTTAAGACATGTAAGATGCTATATCTACTTCTGAATTTTGTTTATATTTGCATTTTTATACAGTCAAATCTTACAGTCGGTTCTGAGTTCCGACCAAAAAAAAAAAAAAAAAAGACAAAGCTTTAAAGTCGTCAGTCGGTCATAGCTTCTTAGTCTTCGTTAATAACCAAAACTTAAAACATAAATAATAATCCAAAAGAGAAAAAAAAATCCTCAAAGCACTTTCTGGTGTCTGCATTCCCCGTTTTACTCTCAATTTCACCGAATCAACCCAATAACCTAACAAATAAAGGAGTCCAGAGTCCAACCTATTCATTTCTCAGCAGCAGATTTTTCAAATCTTATCTGATATTCATTTTCTTAGTCTTTCCTTTTCATAATTTCCTGAAAAATCAGAATTGTTCTTTCTTATCAACACATCATTTATAGTTATTCCCAGTTAATAAATTTTACCGTTCTATTCTATTAAAATTTCAGCTTCATCTCTCAATTGGAAGGCACTTTCTTCTATCAATATGAGCATGTGCGCAAGAAATTCTTTGTACACTAACCCCAAACCCTGCAAACACCTAGCAGATTACAAGCTCAGACATGGCTTCAATGGCTATGATTCCCTCCAAAATTGCCTCAAAACCAACCCAAATGGAAGAACTAGAGTTGATAAACACGATACCGAAATACCCAGATGCAGTTTTTGTAACGGGTATCAAGGTAGACTTTATATTTGTCTGATGTGTTCTTCAATATCTTGTTCAAGCCACATTCTTTTGCATACCCAATCTGAGAACGGCCATGAGGTAGCGATTGACATCGAGAGATCAGAGCTTTATTGTTGTTTGTGTTGTGATCAGGTCTATGATCCTGATTTTGACAAGGTTGTTGTGTCTAAACAAATCAAGGACTTGCCTGGGGGTAAAAGTAATGGTTTTGAGGCGTGTTCTGGGAGTGGGAGCTCAAGCAAGAGAAGGAGATTAGATTCAGGGATAGAATTAGATTTGAAAAAGTCAAAACAGTTGATTTCAATGAGAGATCGGAGAGCAAAATCGTGTTATCCATTGGGATTGAGGGGATTGAACAATCTGGGGAGTACTTGTTTCATGAATTCTGTGTTGCAGGCTTTGCTTCATGCTCCTCCTTTGAGGAATTACTTTTTGAGTGATCGGCACAACCGTGATCAATGCAGGAAAAGATCTGGTGAAAAGCTATGCTTGCTCTGTGATATTGATGCTATTTCTTCAGCTATGTTTTCCGGTGATCGCACCCCTTATAGTCCAGCTCAGTTTCTTTACAGGTATGAAATAGTTCCTGTGTGTCAGAACCGTCTGTGAGCAATGTTCTGATAGTTATATTTCGTGACTTAATGATTTTTGTAATTGACTTGTATTATGTGAATGGTATACTGTGCTTGAGGCTATTTTAGATGGATTTAACTGAGATCTGTTGTTTGTAGAACGTTCTTTGTTAATAAAGCTGCTTGGGTTTAAATCAACTTTCAGCCTTTTGATGAAATCCAAAACAAAAAGAGGTGAAAATTTACGACGCTGGGAGCTATGTACTTAGTAGAATTAAGTATAATGTGAATAAAAACCAGGTCTATTTTGGTTGCTTTATTGAAATCTTTTGATTTAACTGAAAGTTTGGAACAATATTGGTAAGGCCTTGTCATGTTCTCTGTCTTTAGGGTTGTAAAGATTAGTCTTAAATCAATTTCTTTATGTTATGAAAATGACAAATTGTTTCTATTTGTTGAGATTCAATTAAAATCTGTATGTGGTATTCGATCTACTTGGTCCTCCCTTTCTTTGGTTGCTAAATGTTATGAAGATGAATTGACAGCTTTAATGGTGAATTTCTGTTTTTTTTGAAGCTGGTGGCAGCATTCATCAAATTTAGCCAGTTATGAGGAGCAGGATGCTCATGAGTTCTTCATTTCAGTTTTAGATGGCATCCATGAGAAGGAAAGCAAAATAAGGAACTCTAGCAAAGGTAATACGACGCTGATGATGTTTGCTTGCTTCAAATTCATGTCATATGCACAATTACATTGTCAAAAGGTGGTAATGGTTCTCTATCTCTATCTCGTATGTCGGTAATCGATAGCCATAAATACAGTTGTGCTTCTGATGCATGCAGTTGAGGGCACCAAGCCTAGAGGCAGAATATGAAATTTGATTAATTGTCAGAGGTAGTTTGGGATATTGATATCAATATGCAAATCTTGAAGAGGTGGGAAACAATTAGAACTGATTCTATGACTCTTGAGTTGGAGAATAATAACATACCTGTAGACATAGAAGCATTTGTTCTCATTTTTGCCACAAATTATTTGGAGTAACTCAAGAATGTCAGAAATATACTTGGAATCTTAGCAGTGTTTGGGTGTTGATAGATAATCCACTCAAACTGAGAATCTGGACATAGTCTGGGACTGAGAGAAATAGAGTTTTGTCACATTGCTGCAGTTCTATTTTACTCATGATATTGTTATTCTTTTACACAGACTATGGAGACTGTCAATGCATTGCTCATAGGGCATTCTCCGGGTTGTTGAGATCTGATGTCACATGTATCACGTGTGGATTTACATCCACAACTTATGATCCGTGTGTTGATATTTCGCTCAACTTGGACACGAGTAACTTGTCTTCAGCAGATCTAGCTAATAAACCCGTAAAACCAGAAGAGAAGCTGGGTGTGTCTACTCTTTCAGGTTGTTTGAATTTGTTTACAAGAGCAGAGAGGTTAGGTTCTGACCAGAAACTTCATTGTGAGAATTGTCAACAATTAAGGGACTCATCAAAGCAACTGTCTATTAGAAGACTCCCATTGGTGCTGTGTTTACATATTAAGAGATTTGAGCACTCCTTGGTCAGAAAAATGTCAAGGAAAATTGATCGATATTTGCAGTTCCCTTTCTCATTGGACATGACCCCATATTTGTCATCCTCAATTATTAGAAGCAGGTTTGGAAATAGAATGTTCGCCTTTGAACATGACAACTCTGATAATTCTGCAGAATATGAGATTTTTGCTGTGATTGCTCATTCGGGAATGCTGGAATCTGGCCATTATGTGACTTATCTGCGCCTAAAGAACCAGTGGTACAAATGTGATGATCCTTGGATTTCTGAGGTTGATGAGGGAATAGTGAGAGCTTCACAGTGTTATATGTTGTTCTATGTACAGAAACTGCTTTACTACAAAGCAAATGAGGATTTAAGTTGCGTGCGAATTTCCCCACGCAGAGACACGTTTGCTTCTACTGCTGGTTGTTCCTAACGTGAATCTTTAGGTCGAGCCTGGCAGAGAGTTGGCATTGTGTGAGTGATTTAGATTACTCATGCAAGGCCAGCTGAAGAACTAGTGAGAATTAAAGCAAAAATGTTCTTTGATGGAGTCTTTTCTGAGAATCAAACGGAGAAAATACCAAAGTTCTCTGAGGTGTATGGTTTAAGCCATTAAACAATTTCAAAAGGCTGATCATTTGTGACAGGTGTCCATATAGCGATTTCTATGGATACCAATCTATTTCTGATGGGTATTCCTACAGTGATCTTCTACAGATATTGGCCAAAAAGGAAGTGAATCAATTCTTTTTCATGTTGGGATTCCCAAAAGCTCTCTACAAGATTCTTGCTCTGAATTATTTTGACTGCTGCATGCAGTCATGTACAGAATAAATAGTTTCTTGACTGCTATAATTTCTAAAGGGCCATTCTTTTTATGGTTTCTTTTCCTTTTTTTTTTTTTTTCAATCAACTTTTCTTTGCCCATCTTTGAAAGTGTTAATGGTAGGTGGGAAATATTTTATGTTGGATTAATATGTACCGTATTTCAGGCTAGATTATGTCATCCAAAGTTGCACGCATCTGCCTTTTTGGCATTGGCAACTTAAAAGTCAAGATCAATTACCCCGAGAATGCAGACAATATTATTGTTTCTTATTTGGATGAACTAACGGCTGTCGTTTGATTATACTAACTGAGATGTTTGTTTGTAGTGGCAACTTTGAAAATTCTCTCTTGTATTATCAATGCTTTACAGTCATCTCATGTGAAACCATGAAATTTTCCAAAATATCTAGATTTGTCCTACTTCTTCGCTATTCTTGCTATTGGAATGTGTCTTGGTCAGTTAGCTGAATGCACACAAGATCCTTGATCTGGTATTGGGGGCAGGGCAACTCTCTTCACTTTTAACTTAACTATCAAGAGGAATAAAAAGCACATGATCTAACATTGTTTTGTTCAACAGGTTGGAAGATTCCATCCTGCGCCAGTTTGTTACTTTATCTTCGTATAGTTGGGAATTTAAAAAAGGTTGAAGCCATTTGATAAAGAGTTATAAAGTAACTTGCTTTGCACCAAACCAATTCAACTACCAAAAATTAAGATCCTGCTGCTAAAGACACCGTAGTATTATTATTGTACCATAAAGTTCCAAGGTTTTGTCATCAAATCCGAGGAGCCAAATATTTTAATTGTCAAATTAACCAAACGTTAATTCTCAAGTACTTTTCGTTTTCCCCTCTTATTTCTGCGGAATATTGGGGTCTCCCACTTGCATTTTTGCTGAAACTTTTTTTTTTTTAATCTTGGTACAACTGCATGTGAGGTTATTTTTACTTTTTTCTATGTTTGCTTTCCGACATCCGGAAACATTGGACATTGCACCTTTTTTTGGACATGACCATAAAAAAGAAAGAAAGTGGTAACATCTATAGTATGTGTCAGGTCCCAACTCGCGTGGGACAAATAGGGTTCAACCTTTGGTTTTGGTAGTACCGGCTGCCAACTGGACGAAGAAGTGTATAATTTTGGGTTGCATGTGAAAATATCACGAGGAAAGGAAAATATAATACTCGTACTATCATTTGGCCAGTTAATCACATAATGTTTTCTCATTGGCCGCCTAAGAAAACAATGGAGAGAACTTAAGACGTTACCAAATACTATATATAATTAATTTAAACCATGCTGCTAAAAGAAAATTAAAAAACCTTTCCAACTTGTAGTAAAACTATATTTTTTTTTGTTCTAATTTGTTTCTTCTTTTCTTTTATGAACAGATCAGGTTTTGGAAAAGATGGGGTTTTGGTCAAATCTGGTATCGAGGGAACCCTCTTGGACCTATAAACTACCTCCTCTGTGATCTAGTTGAGACCTAGATCATATACTAGTTATTTTTCTTACATAGAAATATATTGGTCTTGCCCTAGGAGAGTTCATGAAAAAGAAACCACAACACCATTTTGAAATGTTTAAAGTCTCCTTGCGAGTTTCAAAAAACTCAAGCAACCCATTTTAGGGAATTTTTTCTTCATATAAAATTTTAGAAGATTCATCATTGTTCGAGGAATCTCATCAGTCAATTTTTCCTGGTGTTTCAGTTGATGGAATATAGATGACCAACCTGAGTTGACCATCTCCATTGTTGATTTTTAGTGAGCTATGGTGGAAGAAGAGAGCATAGAAGCCAGTAGGGAAGCTGTGGAGGAAGATGATGAAGGTCCCAAAGGACTATGTTACTGTTTTTCGGGTCCGATATATTGGCTTAAGATGCTTGCAGTGGAAATGCATTGGAGTTTCGTATTTGGAGTTGTTGCCATTTATGGGATAAATCAGGGATTTGGTGGGGCTCTTGCTCGCATCGTCACAGAGTATTACATGAAGGATGTGCAGGAGGTGCAGCCTTCCGAGGCTCAGGTTTACTCGGGGATTACTTCCATCCCTTGGATCATCAAGCCTATTTGGGGGCTTCTCACAGATGTTCTTCCAATAATGGGTTATCGAAGACGGCCTTATTTTATTTTATCAGGTAAATGACGCATTATGTACCTCTTTTTATAGATATTGTCAGATTCCATTTTCAGTTCACAAAAGTGCCATATATTTATCACATTCTTTTGATAAATAAAAGTGCCATATATATTTATCATATATGATATGGTAACTTAATTATTATTAATCAAATCTTGTTCATTTATTCCTTTTATGACTTTCCAGTGGATTTAAGCAGTTTGTCAGTTGAAACCTAACTTATCTTAACTGATCTAATTTCCTATGCAAAACTGGACCTTAAGAGCTTGTATACCATATCATAATAATCTCTTAGGCTGCCAATTAATGCTCATAATTATGCTTTGGATTGAAGACCCTTTTGGATTTATAAAAACTAGAGGCTAAGTTTTCAATTTTCAATGAACCACACAGCTTGTGTGTTGAAATGTTCCAAGTGATTTCTCCTAATCATGCGTGCTCATGTATATATAAATATTACTAATACCATTAATAAACTCTCATTTTTCTCACCTTGAGTTAGAAATTGCTTTCAATTAATCTTATGTACATAAAACAGATGGCATGCAATTGCTTTAGTTGATATCGTGAGATATATTAATTAATTTTCTTCTGGGTGCTACATATATAGAGAGAGAAACCTTTTATTCTAGGAAATGACAATGAACATGAAACAAAAATGTTAGTCTCTTGATTCCTCCTATTTACTTGTAAATGTTAATCTCAGGTTTGCTTGGTATAGTGTCAATGCTATTAATATCATTGAACAGCAAGCTGCATCTGGTTTTTGCCCTCTTTGCATTAACAGCCGGAAATACGGCAGTAGCTGTAGCAGATGTTACTGTTGATGCTTGTGTCGCACAGAACAGCATCAGTCATCCTTCTCGTGCAGCTGACATGCAAAGCTTGTGTGTTTTGAGCTACTCTATTGGAGGATTACTGGGATTCCCTATTAGTGGTGTTTTTATACACCTAATTGGCCCAAATGTTGGCTGTTTAATTTTTCTTGTCAAATTCTGCAATTTTTCTTCTTTATTTTTCATTTCTTTCACTAAATCTACACATGTTAAGGTTTTCTCTTCTTTCCTTGTTAGGGGGTGTTTGGATTGCTGACTTTCCCCGCTGCACTTCTATCTTTAGTTGGGATTCTGCTTTCTGAGCCCCGAGTGCCCAACTTTGCCTACACTGAGGTATTCTTTGGCTCTTTTTGACCCTCGGTTTTTTCTAATTTTCATGTTGCAATATTCTCTTCTTGACTCAGGTAAACCAGAAACTCCTTGATGCTGTAAAGGCTATGTGGACAACATCGAAATGCCCTGATGTTTGGAGGCCATGTTTATATATGTATTTATCCTTAGCAATTAGCTTGAATATAAATGAAGGATTGTTTTACTGGTACACAGACTCGAAGGAGGGCCCCTCTTTCTCTCAGGTATATGATTCTCATCCTGAAGGCAACTGAGCATTTGTGTGCGTATGATGATCCTTCTGATCACTTTCCACTTGAGTAATAAATCATGCTAAAGGTCCTAAGGAATTTACTAGCTTCGCTTCACAGAATGAATATGATCAGAATCTTGGATATTTATTTGACATTCAATATGAAATTGAGCTGGCTAAAAGTAGGCACCATGAGAGAATACGAGAAAAAAAGTTACTTGGAAAAACAACATGACTTTTTTTTTTTATACAAAGGAGGTCATACATAAGAGAAAATGTTGTAAGTGTTAGGGATTTTAATTTCGAACATGCTAGAATTAACTTTTAAGAATAATTACATAAATTAATTAAGTTTCGGACTCAAAAAATTGAAATGACTTTAAATTGTACTATCACATGCATATACTTCCAAATGTTTAAAGGACCATGTTATATTGTTAGGAAAATCTATCATTTCTCTCTCTTCTTTTTTTTTTTTTTGCAGGAAACTGTTGGTTACATTTTCTCAATGGGTGCAATCGGTGCCCTCTTGGGGGCAATACTCTACCAAAATGTGCTGAAGCATCAGCATTTGCGAGACATGCTCTTCTGGACTCAGTTGCTATTTGGTTTAGCAGGAATGCTGGATTTGATGTTGGTGCAGCGAATGAACTTGAAATTTGGCATACCGGATTATTTATTTGTTGTGATTGGTGAAGCTGTTTCTCAAATGATTTCACGGCTCAAATGGATGCCCCTTCTTGTACTAAGTTCCAAGCTTTGCCCTTCAGGTATTGAGGGCACTTTCTTTGCTTTGCTCATGTCAATTGATAACATCGGAGGTCTTTCTTCTTCCTGGGGAGGAGGCTTGCTGCTTCACGTGTTGAATGTTACGCGGACCAAATTTGATAATCTCTGGCTGGCCATATTGATCCGAAACATATTGAGATTTTCGCCAATTTGTCTGCTATTTTTGGTACCCAGAGGTGATCCAAACTCTTTCGTACTTCCAGTCAAACTGCCGAGCAGCAATGATGAAACTGAAACTCAAGAACCCGACGACATCGAATTGGCATCTCCGATTAACAGTTTTGATGGAAAATAGCCTATTTATTACAAGAATCATTCACATCAACTTGGATTGACATGTATAGTTGAGCTTAACGCACAAAAGATAGCCTCTCAGTCCCATGCATAGGAGGTTAAGATGGGGCTGCTTAGGAGATTTTCTTATTGTGGTGCCATATAATTTCAAGGTTTTGTCAGCAAATGCAACGTTCCGGCTAGGTCCTTCAACAATTTTAAATGGTATATTCAAATTCTTTTGATATACAATATTTTACTATATTATATGATATATATATATATATATATGTATGCCATAGCCAAGTCAATTCTAGAGTCTAGAAGGGAGTTTCAAGAATTTTGGCAGGCTGTTCTCAGCTCTCCTACTCTCCCTGTCATTTTTCCGTTTTCCTTAAGCTTCATAATACATATGAAAATGGTGGGTTTGAGCCTAGGCTCAATAAAACCATCAAGTTACCTATGACAATAAAGCTTCTATAAGCATAAATAAAGGTATATAAATCCAAACCATTCAACAGTGAAGTTAACCTATGATGCAGAAAAGAAAATATTCAGAAGCAAGATGGCAAAATCTTGTTTTGTATGCCAATTTATCCCAATAAAAATTGGTGCCAGGCAAATGCGTCTATACCGTCTCTGGTTGATGGTCAAATTTATTGAGAGTTTTTTTTATAATCAGACTATGAACAGAATTAGATGGTACCTTTAGTCATTACATTATGTAGAGTATCCCTGGAATTGAGATCATAGACAACACACTTCATTTTGTTCTTCACTGCAATAACCGATCAATTTGACTAAATTTGGATGAGTATTCATGCTTGGAAGAGTCAAAAACTTCAATTCTTCCTGGAAGACAAAAACTTACCAATCATAACCTATCAAGTAAGGAGCAAAAAGATTAAAAAAAAAACCCTATTACAGTTAGTTCCCGCTCTCTTTGTTAAAACCAATATGTCTTTTTTGATGAAGTCAATCATGTTCTTGTTTTGTTTATGATGCCCTTAATCTTGTTTCAGATAGGTTGAGTTACTAGATTTGATATAATTAGCAAAGATCAATGATTTTATTGATAAAAGTTAAAATTTAATTATTCAAATGAGATTTTAATAAAAATTTAATAATCAATGAACTTTATTCTAATAATTCGTGATATTTTTACGAAATTGAATCCATAAAATTAAAATTTTTTGAACTATTTGCTATAATTCCAATATTCTGTAGAATCACACTGAGCATTTTATTTGTCTTGGTATGGATAAAATCATAAATAAGCATGTGACGTTCTTTCTTGCGTTTTTATAGAACCAGAACTGTTGTATTCCGACATCCAGAAACATTGGATAAGGCACCTTTTTTCAGACATGGCCGTTTACGGTAACTACATCTATGGTACATGCCCAGTGAGAGGAACCAATTGCGTTCTGCCACGTTCACACAAAAATGGGGTACTCCCTTCTTTTTGGTCAAGAAAAGTTTACATTTAGTCGTTAACGTGGTTATTAAAACTATCATGTACAATTTATTTTTTTAATTCGACATTACGAAGTCAAGTACTATTTTTTTTTGTCTTTTTAGCAGAGTCTGTAATTGAAAGAAAATTTAAAATCTTGGCAAAATTAATAGTCAAACTAGAAAAATACAAAATACTTAAGACGCGTTAAACGGAGCAGTAAAAATTCTTTTTTTTTTATTTTTTTTATAAAAAAAATGGAACAATTCGGGCTTGTGCAAGCGAGGGGGTTTTACTGTGGTTGGTCAAAGCATATCTGCTTACCTTAAAACTACTGTCTTTCTGATCTATCTTACACATTTGTTATAGATATTTCTCCGACATAGATATTGATCTTGCACTCCTTAAGATTACATTTTTAAAAGGGTGTAAGAAAGTTTGTTCAACTAAAAAAACTGTAACCCCATCTAGAAAATTTTAAGTTTTATAGTCAGTTTTTCTGAAAAATTAAAGGAACCCATTTTAGAAACTCTGATTTGTTAACTGGGTTCCCGTCTTTTTCACAGTGTCAAAATTTTAGAAGATTCATCATTGTTCTTGGAATGTCAGCCAATTTCCTGGTGTTCGGTTGTGGAATATTCATGCCCAGAAAACTGTCTTGACCTTGGATCATGGTTTATTTTTGAGTTAGAGTTATGGTGGAGGAAGGGAATATTGAAGCCTGTGAGAAGGCTGTGGAGGAAGAAAATGAGCTCAAAGTTTTGTGTTACTGTTTCTGGGGTCCAATTTATTGGTTCAGGATGCTTTCAATGGAAACGCATTGGAGTTTTGTATTTGGAGTTGTGTCCGTTTATGGGATAAGCCAGGGATTGGGTGGAGCTCTTACACGTGTCGGCACCGAGTATTATATGAAGGATGTTCAAAAGGTGCAGCCTTCTGAGTCTCAGGTTTATTCAGGGATTACTTACATTCCTTGGATTGTCAAGCCTATTTGGGGGCTTCTTACAGATGTTGTTCCCATTAAAGGTTATAGAAGACGGCCCTATTTCATTCTATCTGGTAAATTACGCGTTCTACCATTTTCTTTACCTATTTATAGTTGTCATAAATGGAAATCTCTTGTTCATTTGTTCCCATTCTGTCTTTCCAATAGAATTAGAAACTTGTCTGGTGAAATTTAGGTAATGCAGATCTTTGCTTTGCAAAACTGGAGCTTATGTAGATTCTCAACCAACTGCATCTGTGGTATAAATGTTTTATTCTCTGGCTTGTCTATTTATATAACAAGTTGAAGTTTGTAATCTCATTTGGAAGCAAGAACCAGAAAGAATCCATTTGTTTCATCCATGGTGGAATAAGCTGCCATTGTTCTGTTTTTTGTACCATCTCAATATGCACAATGATGATCCATCCTCCCCTCTTTAGTTACTTAACACATTTGAGTAATAAAAAGTTGAAACTTGACTGCATTTTTCTCTGGTTTGTTGTTTTGTACTAAAATATTATCTCTGTGTATCTTTGTATGTGTATTGCATTTCTCTAACTGGTCATTCTGTATTAAGCAATAGCGAATGTTTAGAAAGTGTGAAAGATGGCATGTACGACACTGTTTTTGTTCATGTAGCAAGACATAATTTGCTTCTGAGTGATCTAAATGCCTTCTGCTTTGTGAAATAGGAACAATAATGAAACAAAAATCGCATGCTATATGATTACATTATGAATAATCTTCTCCTTATGTTAAAACTTTTAAAGTTAATTTCAGGTTTGCTTGGTTTGGTCTCCATGCTTTTAATATCATTGCACAGCAAGCTGCATCTGGTATTTGCCTTGTTGGCATTGACAGCAGGAAGTGCTGGGGTAGCTATAGCAGATGTTACTGTTGATGCATGCATAGCACAGAACAGCATTATTCATCCTTCCCTTGCAGCTGACATGCAAAGCTTGTGTACTTTGATGTCCGCCATTGGAGCTCTAGTTCTCTGTCAGTGGTGTTTTTGTTCACCTAATAGGCCCTAAGGTTGACTGTCATTTAACTCCATCAGTTTGCAATTTTTCTTTATTTTACGATTCTTTTGTTTAATATATATGTTAATAGCTTCTTCCCTCTTCCTTGGCAGGGGGTGTTTGGATTGCTGACCATCCCAGCTGCGCTTGTCTTTTCGGTTGGGATTGTTCTTGCTGAGCCCAATGTGCCCAACTTTGCCTACAAAGAGGTATTCTTTGGCTCTTTCTATTGAATCTTGGTTGATCTACATTCATATTATGAATTCTCTTCTTGACTCAGGTAAGCCAGAAGTTCCTTGATGCTGGGAAAGCTATGTGGACAACATTGAAATGCCCAGAGGTTTGGAGGCCATGTTTATATATGTATTTATCCTTTGCAGTGAGCTTGGATATAAATGAGGGATTGTTCTATTGGTACACAGACTCAAAGGAAGGGCCTTCGTTCTCTCAGGTATATAATTCTGCACTCAGTGTCCTTGGATGCTGAAGACAACCAAGTGTGTATGTTGATGCTTTAGGAGTTTGCATTTGAGGAATAAATCATGGCAAGGTCTTAAAATAATACAAAGTTACCATACAAGGGATAAATCATAACTGTAGATTTTAAGTTGGAGGAGCATTAAACATTTTCTGATCTTTGATTTAAAGAACAAGTTTACAGTTTTAGTAAAACCTGTTGTTCCTCTCTCTTGTGCAGGAGACTATTGGTTACATTTTCTCAATTGGTGCAGTTGGTGCCGTCTTGGGGGCAATACTCTACCAAAAAATGCTGAAGGATCACCCTTTCCGAGACTTGCTTTTGTGGATTCAGTTATTCTATGGATTGGCAGGAATGTTAGATCTGATGTTGCTGCTGCGAATAAACTTGAAATTTGGAATCCCAGATTATCTCTTTGTTGTGATTGGTGAAGCCGTATCTCAAATGATTGGACGACTCAAATGGATGCCCCTTCTTGTACTGAGTGCAAAGCTTTGTCCTTCAGGTATTGAAGGCACCTTCTTTGCCTTGCTCATGTCGATTGATAATGTTGGGCTTCTCTCATCCTCATGGGGAGGAGGCTTTCTGCTTCACATGTTGAATGTCACCCGGACAAAGTTTGAAAACCTCTGGCTGGCGATATTGATCCGAAACATATTGAGACTTTCTCCCCTTGGTATTCTATTTTTGATACCCAGAGGTGATCCCAGTTCTTCCATTCTTCCAGCTGAAATGTTGAATGGCAAAGATGAGACTGATGCTGAAGAATCCAAGAACATTGAATTGGTCTCACTTGTAAACAGTGTTGATGGTAGACAGATAACATAGACAAGAACCATTCACCTCAAAGTATACATATATCTGGAAGAGAAAATCAATGAAAGCTTGGCAGCGGATCTCCAGAAGAATATCTATCATCGATTCTGACACGTCATTGTTGCCTGCCTGCACGAATGTTTTGTAAAATCAAGTTAAGATAAAATATTTGAATGAAGTATTTCATGCTTGCAAACTGCCATAGATGTCAATTTTAATAATGTCCAACGAGAAATCCTTTTTTTTTTTCAAATAGGATGAAAATAGGTATTATATTATAAGGATGGAAATGGAAATGAGTATAATTTTAAATTTTTTATTTGATATGAAAATGAAAATGGATAAAATAATATTCTTTGTTTGTCCTTATTTATACTTTACATGTATATTTTTATATATGATATG